TTTGTCCACCCTTTGAATCCTATTCCTCTGGTATGATGCAATAAGATCCAGATGAATGATATTCGATTTCCTGCCAGGGGATGTATTTGGCCGCAGTCCGTATTTTGTGACAAAAAAATGTTTTTTTACTTCGATTAATACTTAATATAGGGCATGCCCTATATTCGGTATACATACTAATATTACAGCTCTTTTCGGTATAGGTATACTCGATGCTAAAATGTTAATAAAAATAAGAAATATATGATGGTAACTAAATTATAACAAAATGATTCTCATCATTCAATTAGGCAAATTAATATGAACTGAAAGTTCACAAGCTAGTACTGCTTTAATCAACAAGCTATTCGTTTTGTCAATTTCTTTCAACCTTAAAATTATACGCTCACTTTTCACAAACTTTTCAAAAACCTAAAAAAAAAACAAACCATCGAAACCTAACTACTTTATTAATTAATTCAATGAGCAGTGTACTGCTCACCCAATCAAGAAATCTAAAATGTGTATACGTATAGGTTGGAGTCAAAGAATCAAATTACGCCTGACGTGCCAACACAACAATGCAATCAGCAATGCGAGCGAACGTCACAGTGATTCCGAAAATCCAAACCGACCAGAATTATGTCGATGTTTGTAAATGTAATGAACGATGTAACGACGATATATCGATCATCAAAACATCGATGTTTATGACAGATACCTCGATGTTTTACAAACAAGATGTATCGTTTGCATCTCTACTGACGCAAAAATAGATTTGACTAATGAGCCCGCTAAAAGTTATTGAGATCCATGAACTATAAAAATAATCATGAATAATGCATCTATGTACCGAGAATGAGTATTCTAGCATAATAATAGAAAGAATGCCTTTCTACTAGATCAGCTTTTCTGTCTTGCACAGATGCTCCTCTCCTTTTCAACTCTGTTTTCAGCTATATTACAGACCATGTTGAACACACTTTTACCACTTATTTAATATTTTTAACAACAAAAAAACACGTTGAAAAATTTGACAGCTGCAATATTCGGCTGTGGTTTGGGTCATGCGTTTGCAGCGCCATTTATGTCGAGCTTTGCGTATACTTCTACTTCTTCTTCTTCTTTTGATGGCTTGCATTGTGACTTAGCACAGCTCCGCCAATGTCAAGTGATTAGCCATTACACGTAAGGGAATGATGGTTAAAATCTGAATTTTGGTTACCTATTTACAAGTCAATAATCAAGTACTAGTGAAGTACCGCTATAGTCGATACTAGACGATATTAATGTTCGTTTACTATTACGAACAAATTAAAATCGTATCGAACACGCCTATCGTATACAAGGCTTCTGCACTCGTACCGAAGAGACAAACAAAATGGCGGTCGTGATCACGAGGTGAACACAGTGTTGACAGATTTTCACTCGCGATAATAGTCTGTCTATCATCGATTATTTACTATTCTTTTAGTCACATCTCTATGTAAAAAAGTAAAAATAAAACCATAGAACGTAAACGCAAAACTGCAGTAAAATATCTTTTAGATTTTTAATTATTATAAGCACGATGTCTATGAACAATATGTTGATTGTGTCTGTGAATAGGCTTGTTGACACTTTTTGGAAATATGTTTTAAATGGTTAATAATTGTTCAATTAGACCGAAAAAACATGTATTGTAATTTTTTTTTAACTTGAAAGCTACAAAACTTTCATGGACATACAAAAACGCTGTCGGCCATTTTAGTCTATAGATTATCTAGCACTCTGGCCGCACCCTTAGGGTGCGGCCAGAGTGCACTCAGATTCAGATTCAGATTTCGAAAACAAGCGCGAGAAATAAACACTGTAATCGAAGGGTACGGCCAGAGTGCACTCCTGATTCAGATTCAGATTCAGACTCAGAAAACAAAGCGCGAGAAAAAGCAGGCAACCTGCTTAGACTACACTGTTTATTTCTCGCGCTTGTTTTCGAAATCTGAATCTGATTCATATTCCGAAAACAAGCGCGAGAAATAAACAGTGTAGTCGAAGGGTACGGCCAGAGTGCACTCCTGATTCAGATTCAGACTCAGAAAACAAAGCGCGAGAAAAAGCAGGCAACCTGCTTAGACTACACTGTTTATTTCTCGCGCTTGTTTTCAGAATCTGAATCTGAGTGCACTCTGGCCGCACCCTTACTTTAGTTAAGAAAACAAAATAAACGGAAACTTTTCTTCAAGATATAAGAGTTTTTAGATATATTTTAGTCGAACGAAAGAAACCACAGTAAAATGATAATGACATTTAGTTGTTTTGCTATTATGTTGACGTCACAATCATGGTGGACAGCGTTTTAGTGTTTAAAAAAACATAGACTTAAAAACTGTTTTTCAAATTAAATTACTACAGCCATATTCTAATTTTATGAAGTGAAATCGACGTATTTAGTTTCCTCATACCAAAAATTATAAGAAATAAACATTTGTATAGTGCAATTTGACATGAGTCAACTAGCCTATTAATAGGCTAGTTGACCCTTTTTGGAAAAAGGTTTTAAATGGTTAATAAATGTTCTATTAGACCGAAAAAAAATGTATTGTATTTTTTTTAAACGTAGAAAGCTACAAATCTTTAATTTTAAAATAGACTTTTCATGGACATACAAAAACGCTGTCGGCCATTTTAGTCTATAGATTATCTATGCTATGACGTGAACTGTGGTAAACAAAAACTCGTAAACACGTAGAAAATTACTTTTAACTGAGTTTATAATAAAAAAAAACATGATTTCTAATAAATACCACGAAAAATAAAGTAATTATCATTACTGTATTGTACGAGAATATAAAAACACATCCTTGTAGACTCCAGGAAAGTTGTGGATTAAAGTGCCGAAAGAAATTAACCTACGCAACTTTATAACACTTATTCATATGATGTATCAGTTTTATGTTTATTATTACATTGTAATACTAAATGCACTGTACTTACATAGATGCCTTGTCGTTTCTCTGCTCCGCAGAGCAGAAATCGGGGTTTAGTGCAACAAATTCACCAACCATCAATGCGTCAATTCTTGGCAGATTTGTGCTTTCTGCTTTCACAAAGCCGGCATCCATAATTAGGTTTGTCAAAAAAAACTTAGTTAACTGTTTTTTTTTTCCTAAAGTTAAAAGTGTTATAAGATAAATTTAGTCAGACGAAAGAATCCACCTACAGTAACACGCGAATGACATTTAGTTGTTTACCAGAAGAGACGTCAAAATCATGGCGGATGTGGCGAACAGCGTTTTTAGTGTTTAAAAAATATAGACTAAAAAATTTTTTTTTAAATTTAATTTCTACAGCAATCTTCTGCTTTTATGAAGTGAAATCGATATATTCAGGTTCCTTAGACTAAATACTTTAAGAAATAAACATTTATTTAATAGAACTCGACATGAGTAAACTAGCCTATTGTGGTGTCAATTCTGACACGATTCTAACCTAAACTTAAATTTGACAATAGTGTATCCTTGTCATTCTCTATACGGAATGAAAAGGAGAGATTGATGTTAAATTTAGTTTTAAGTTTAGAGAATAATATAGAGAATAATGGTGTCGATTCTAGCGTGATTCTCTAAACTTAAAACTAAATTTACAATCTGTCTCTCCTATTCATTCCGTATAGAGAATGACAGGGATACACTGATGACGATTCTGGCATGATTCTCTAAAGGTAAACTTAAATTTGACAACAGTGCATCCCTATCATTCTCTATACAGAATGAAAAGGAGAGACTGATGTTAAATTTAGTTTTAAGTTTAGAGAATCACGCCAGAATCGACACCTCTGTTGTCAAATTTAAGTTTAGATTTAGAGAATCGTGCCAGAATCGACACCAATAGAGAATAAACCAGAATCGACACCTGTGTATTTTTTAAATGATGATTTACGACCATGCTCTATTATTCCAAATTATGCAAAATGTGCCGAATTACATTCTAAAAAGTGTCAAAAGGAGTGTAGTAACCACCAAGTCACACTGGGCCCTCGTGGTGGGACATGGCCCAATCTCCCCATTCCATCCATAAGGAAGATCTTTGTCCCAATAGTGGGGACATTAAAAGGATAAATATGATGATGATTTGCTTTATGAAAGGTGGAAAGTGGTATCGATTCTGACACGATTCTCTAAACCTAAAACTAAATTTAACATCAGTCTCTCCTTTTCATTCTGTATGGAAAATGACAATTATACACTGTTGACAAATTTACGTTTAGGTTTAGAAAATCATGCCAGAATCGACACCAATAGGTACTTTATTTTACAGAAATAAAAAAATGCTTCATAGAAGCAGAACCACTATAAAGTAGGAAATAATACAATTCATTACTTAAATCCATGAAGTTATATATCTATGTGCTTAGATCTACAAAGTGAAGACAAGTTCATTTACCCAAGTAAAATTTTATAATAGGGATGATGACAAATTTTTTTTTCTTCGTTTATCAGGTAGATTATCAAAAAGTATTGGATACGTATTTTTTCTTTTTTCACATAATATAAAGATTGCAGAGATATATTGATTTGAAAAGTCGCATGACGTCACGTTTGAGTACACTTATAAGGGAAAATTCACTCAAAAGTGACGTCACGAGCCCCTACTCCCAAACTTTGACGCGCTATAGCTTTGTCATTTTTTGGTTGATTGCCCAAAGAAAAAATACGTGTCCATTATTTTTCGATCATCTAACTGAGGGACTAAATAGAATTTCGTTTACTGTACCCCGTCATCATGCCTATTGTTTTATCTCATATTTTTATCCTTTTCACACTTTATGTAAAGTTGCCATTTTAAATTGAAAGAGTCCCAAATAAAGAGATTGATGAGCGAAAATGAAGCATATTTTTATGTAGCAGCTGATAGCAGCTCGAAATTGTTGGTCTCTTCCACTATCGCCGCGTCAGGTCTTGGTGTGTACTGACCCTAAATTGTGCCCGGAGTGTAGATACGGAACGTAACTCTAAGTAAAATGGCGTATGTTTGACGTCCGACGACTCTGACGTTGACGTTTGAAGTCGATCAAAGTGTCATCAACAAAAAATAAATGAAGTTGTGAACAAATAACCATAATATTTATTATTTTTATCAAATCATTGTCAAGAAGACTGGTTATAAAACTGATAGACAACTATGTGTGACAGTGACGATCCAGGCGATAATGGTCGCTCAGGCTTGGACTTGACTGGATTTCTGTTTGGAAACATTGACGAAAGCGGTCAACTTGAAGATGATGGCCTTCTTGATGGGGATTCTAAGCGAATGCTCTCGTCGCTTAATCGGCTAGGGCTTGGATCTATGCTATCAGAGGTACTTGAGGAAGAAGAACTCTCCAAAGAAGATGAGGAGAAAGGTACAATTGTCCCAAGCGTCCCACTTGTTTTATACATAACATTTCAAATAGTTTCTTTTGTATGTTCTAATCTTATTCAAATACTTGTTTATGAATGAAATACTTACCCATTTGTAATAAATCATGCTAGAAAATAAAATGTTTTGTATCACCTAATTGATTTTGTATATTGTTATATTGTGATTTGATGATTAAGACTGCATTTTCATATTACCATAAGCCTTTAATTATATCCTAATTGTATATTTCCAAATATACTAATTTCTTTTCTCCAAATTTTCAATTACCAAATATGATAACTTATCAATCTGGATAATCAAGTCTCCATCTAAAGAAGAAATTTAATAACATTTGACATTTCATCATATACATAGCTATCATTAAATTTTTCAGATTACACAGAAAAAAGTCCATCTGCAGTAGATTTTTTTGACATTGATGATGCTGCAGAGGATCTAAAGGTGAGCTTCATTAATTTATGCTCATACTAATCTATGTATTTGTCTTGTGGTGAAGCTAACGGATACTATTATTATCTCTTCATGTAAAATTTATTTTAAAATTATACTTACATAAATTATTTGTTCTTCTGTGGACTTATTATTAAGATCAGTTTTCATTTTGGTGTTAATAGGGTTGTTGACAGGTTAAACTAAATAATTTGTACTGAGTCTGTCAGTTGATTATCAAAAAATAATAGACACTTATTTTTTCTTTTGTCAATCAACCAAAACATTACAAAGATAAAGTGCATCAATGTTTGAGAGTAGGTTTAGTATGTTGGATCTAAGTAAAAATTGTACCACGATGTGACGTCACGCAACATTTCAAATCAGTACTTCTCTGCAATGTTTTGATTATGTGAAAAAATAAAAATATGTATATATACGGAATACTTTTTGATAATCTCCTTTTCTTTAATATTGGGAAAATGCATGACGCATACACCTTCCCTGGGTGCCTCCAAAACCTGCTCAGCGAGACTGTGTGATTACACCAACATCCTGCCCCTGCAACAAGTGCTTCCTCATCTGTCAGGATGGGTTTTGTGGGATCCTGAAAATCCAAATTACCCCTGGCAGAGGTAACTACTCCTACTACAGAGGTAGCACTGGAGCACCTCCCCCAGACGAGTGAGACTGCAATGCGAGAGGCAGACCACCCCATCCGCTAGTCTCAATAGGGAGGAATGAGTGTGCATAGCGCTGCCTCAGTTTACCGTGCCGTCGGCGTTGAAGAGAGCCGGCCTTGGCTTCCACCTCGCGGGCCCTCTCTGACACTTAACATTAGGCGTCGTGGAGTCCTATCTATAAAAAAAAGTCATGAGCATATCACGACGCTGCCAAGACCATGATGGGCAATCCTTGAGGGTATGCCGCACCATCTCCTTGACAGTGCCACAATTATTTTCGTAATCAGATATTATTAAATAATTAGTTTGGTAATCTTCCTGAAAGACGAAAAAAAGTTTGTCATTATCCCTATTCATCTGTATGTTTAAAGCAATTTTTATAAAAAAACTATGTTTTATGTAATAAGCATACATCATTGATATGGCTTTTTGTCTATAACATAATATCAAATAATTTTATTGTATGTAATTTTGCCAAAACCTTCACAATTTAATAAGTACTTATTGTAATAGGTTTGTTACCATCTTTGCATGTTACATTACAGTATATTTATGTTGGCATTACACACACAATTTTTTAATCATTAAATCCCTTTGCAACTAAAATGCAATTTTACCTATTGTTTATGTGAATAAGGTTATCTGGGTGAATAAAGTGGAACTGTTTCTTAATTTTACTTTCACAGTCCAATGATTGTGGATTTGAATTGACTTAGAGGAAATTTCATAGATCAATATTAATCCATCATAGTTGATGCCATTTTTAACTTCACTCACCTTACCTTGAATTGCATAAAAGTTATCAATAATATTTTTAAGCCTACCCTTACTCTGATTTTGCATTGGCTCTAGGATTTAGGTAGACTGCCAAAACAGTAATTGTATTATTTAAAGAAAATATCATTATTATGTTTATGGAAAATAATGAGTGCTTCCTATGTGCTATGACAACAACTAACGTCAATACTTTGGCTAATGACATAACTAGCTTGTTACTATTAATTTTTTTATTATTTATTTTTAGGATAACCGCATTACAAAAGAAGTTGCTCATAATGGCTCTCAATGCCAAGGAAAACCATTAATGAATACAAGCAAAGAATAAACTAATTTGATTCATTACCATCCTACACATATATAATTATGATCAACCCATCTCTCATAAATCAATAACTAGAAAATTGTACTTTGTAATTTAAAATGAAATAATGTGATCTCTTTGTTTCTTAGGTTTTCACGCACATCACTCATTAAATAAAACTAGTTTTTACGGGTTAATGCACGAAAACTTTATTTATTTATTGACGTTTCGTAGTCTTTACAGGCTACATCATCAGAATAAAACTCAGTGATCTCTTTGTTTTCAATTAGTTTGTTTCTTACCTATTATCAACATCTAATTTACAATTACCTGAATTTTAATGATTGTGTATGATTATTGAGTTTTCCTTAAACTTTTTATTCCTTTAATTTATAAAATATGTAAGTGTTTAATATTTACTAATGTTATTGACAAATTCCTGTATATGATTTTTATTTTTATATGAACATTTAATTTGCATTAAATTGATTATAAAATTGATTTGGGTTTGATTTGCAAATTCTTATTATGCACAAACACAAAATGTGTTATGTATGATACTGAGGTAAAATTAAGAAACTATAAATTCCACTTAGTTTACCCAAGTGAACTTTTCACTTATTGTATGCTTATGACACTCGCAATAGGATACACTGTGTGTTGCAATAATATGTTTGTTGTTTTATGGTTACACTTTGTGATTGTTGCACTAGAAGTTTTGTGGATAGTGCACATAATACGGGAATACTTACAAAAAATTTAATTACCTAAGCAATGTCCGTGTTTTGATTTTTGGTAATGAAGTAATAGAAAGCATTATTTTATTAATAATGTAAACATTATCATGAGAATTACCTTATTACAAGTCGCGGCACGTAACTCTAGCGCTGAACAAAACGCGGAGGGGATAGCTGCGCATGGGTGTGACTGGAGAGCCAATCGACGCAACGCCCACCCGCGCACCTCGTTTCCCCCCAAGATATCTTAATTTTTACTTCTGCGCAATAACGGTCAGCGCTAGAGTTTCGCGCCGAGACTTATACACGTTATAAAACAGCACATTACCTTTACGTCATGTTGTAACTAATATTCCCAAGATAATGTCAATACTAGAAAGGCTTTAAACAAGTATCCTACTCTCAAAAATGTTTTTCTTTTATTTTAATTTTCTAGTATTGAAATTGTCTGTTAAATGTTTTGTGTCCTAACAAGTTTTTGTTAACACTAGGAAGTAGATATAAGCACTAACCAAGATGCACACGAGGTAAAAACCGAAGAAGGAACGGTTGAAGACACTGGGGATATTGCACAAAATGACATAAAGTCTGAGTCCGATCCTTTGAGCAATTGTCCACAGCCGGAACCCAAAGAAGAAAACAACAAGGACTGGATGAGCAAAGAGAATGATGAAGTGTATGAACAGTCTGAGCATCAGTCGACAAATGATGAAGGTTATGAGGGAGATATGGAAGGTGATGGTGGCCTCATGCCGCCTCCATCAGTCATTCCGTGAGTATTTGTAATATTTGTCATGCTCAGTACCTTTTTTATTTTCAAGTGTTTTTAAAGTCTTTCTTTCTCTAGGAAACCTCAAAGGTCTGAAAAACCAAAGAAATTGGAAACTCCATTGGCAGCTATGTTGCCATCTAAATATGCAAATGTGGATGTTACAGAACTGTTTCCAGACTTCAGACCAGATAAGGTTGGTGGCATATTTATTTATCGAAAGCACTAAGACTAAAACCAAAATATTGTACCCGTTATATTATGGGTTTGAACTAAAATAATGTAATGTTTGGATTTAAACAGTACAATTAATTACATTTATAGTGTTTTAGGGCTCCGCACCTCAAAAGGAACAAACGGAACCCTTATAGGATCACTTTGTTGTCCGTCTGTCCGTCTGCAAAGACCGTTTTTCTCAGGAACGCGTGGAGGTATCAAACTGAAATTCATATCTAATACTCATGTCTACTGTCCATTGGATCTGTGTAAAAATTCTTTCTAAGCCAAAAGCAATCAAAGATACAGCCGTTTATGCCGCAAATTTTCGAAACTCGCACGGGAATCAAAAGACAGGGTACTTCCAGTGAACTTAGAATCTTGAAATTTGGTACGAAGTAACGTCTTATAGTACAGATAAAGGAAATTTTGTTTGAAATTTTGCAAAAAATTGCGAAAACCGTAAATTTTAAGTTACATCATATAATAAAAAATATATTTTAATAATTATTAAAATATACCTACAAGAAATTTTTAAAGTTACTACATCTTTTCTCATGAACGCGTAGAGGTATTAAATTGAGTTTGTACGGAACCCTCGGTGCGCGAGTCCGACTCGCACTTGGCCGGTTTTTTATTTGATGGTACAGCCCGACATAGACCAAGTTATTCAAAACTGTAAAATTTCTCCAACTGGCTTAAGAGCACATAAGATTCACAATTAATGGAGAAAATTTTACGGTTTTATTATTATAACTGTCATCAGGTAGGCTATTTAAGGGTGAACGGTGTGTTAACTGCCCTAAACAATGACTATGTGAGAGAGACTGATGAAGTGTATGAATAGAATAGCTTGTGTTATCTCTTTTTTATAGTTTATAGTATTGAAATCATAATGTTAATAAATTCAAGTAGTATAAGAATTTATTGTTAATTTTATTTGATAGGATGACTATACTATTGAATTAGGTATATAACTGTAAAAATAGTGTAATGTGTGTTATATATATTAATAAATCTTGGTGTGTTGCTGTCTGTACTTCAATTAAAAATAATTGAGTTTCTCCGTAACGTAGTCGTGATTAAAGGGTAAGTTCGCCAACGCCATTGAAAGATAATCAGTAAGAAAACCCCATCTGTAGGTTCTCCTATTTTCACGTCTCTTCGGGCCGGGGAAGCTATCGAGTCTGCCACAGATATGGCGCGGGGTGAAGAAACGCAGGCGTCGCAAGCGCAGCGGAAGCACGGGCAGCGACACTCCACCGCTGATGCCTGAAACGCAGGAGTTGCAGTGCGCAAGCGATGACGAGGACAAACTTCTCAAGTGAGTTGTTATTTTACATTATTATGGAGTAACTAAGGCAGTTGAACGAACTAATATAATTGCCTGCTTTTAATTTGAATTAACTTATGTTTTGTACTCATGTTTTATCCCTAACAGTACAGCGTGAGTTAATGTTGCATGAGCGCCCAAATGCTCTTCAGATATACTCCGAAAATCAGACTAATATTTTAAGGGCGAAAGTTTTTAAGTGTATATGTTTGTTACTTCTTCGCGTCTAAACGGCTGGAGCGATTTTAATAAAATTTGGTATGGAGTTAGCTGACATCCTGGATTAACACATAGGCTACATTTTACTGCGGGAAAATATCCCTAATAAAGTAACACTGCGGGGCACAGCTAGTAATAGAATACCTTTGTCCACGATCATTTTTGTCCAGCAAAATAAATCGCTTACAACCGACGAGGGACTTTTGTCCTCGAACATTTTGTCTGCCATAATAGATCGTTTACAATTATTAAGCTTAAGTTTGCGTTCCTCACTTGATCAGGGCTTAGAAAAAAAATATAAATATAGGATTAGACCCAGTTTTCTCTTTTAAAACGTTTATTTTTGTTAAACTTCATGTTAATTACAACAATCTCAAAATATTTGCTTCCATTACGTGCGCTTCTCTAAATTTCCGCACACCGTGTGCGTTTGCGTGAGTCGAGTCTGTGGCATTTTCTCGGCGGTCATTTTTTCACGACTACAGGATTTTTGTCCTCCGCGGACAAAAGTTCCTTGTCTGCGCAGGCCATTAGCTTGCGATTCACATTTGATCATCACGCAGTTTAATGTGTTTATTATTATATTAACCAATTTTTTTCTTACCAATACAAATGTAAGAGATATATATATGAATATTTTCATTGTCCCTTGTGCATAGACCCATGGAAGAGAGTCAGCACTCTAACACAGAGAACAACCAATCGTCGTCTGGTGAAAAGACTCAGAAGCTGACGCCCGCACACTGGCGATTCGGCCCTGCGCAAGTGTGGTACGACATGCTCAACGTGCCTGAAACCGGCGAAGGTTTCGACTACGGATTCAAGCTTAAGGTCGATTGTCTTATTATGTTAAAAGAATGGCAAACAAGTCTGCTCGCCTGATCCTAAGCGCTTACCATAGCCTATAAACGCTTACGATACCAAAAATATCGCTCGCACCGTTGACTGACCCAATACCCTACTCTGTCCCTACCCCGTCCCCGTAGAATGAGCACCACGATATACATACATATATCACGTTTTTATCGTGTCTAACTGTCAAACATTATAGTACTTTGAAATTGAGCGTGGTAAAAACGTTATATACATCATATCACGGTGCTTATGCTAGAGGGGCTGGAACCTTAATCACCTACAGAAACATAACACCACCAAAAAGTAATGTTATTTTAATGTGTTGTTCTGTAAGGTGAAGGCTTCTTCTTCAGATCCAATTCCAGCGGGAAATCCACTATGACCTACCTCTCTTAAGATCTACTTGTGCGGATAGTATTACTACTACTACTATTATGGAAACTAATAGAAAATGACGTCGCAAGATATTCTGAATAATTACATATTCAATATATTCTGTCCCACACACATTCTGTCAGGAATGATGTGGTTCTTGCACTGTCATTTTTCATTCATTTCTTTACTTGCCCAAGTTACACACGCACTTTTATTTATAAGAAGAGCAAGTAAAGTTGTTACTTACATAATACTTTTTCAATATTGCGCTCCTACTGAAACGTCCAGTTATGATAACCAAACTCCAGTAAGAGGTAGGCCTGCTCGAGATTTGTTGCTAAGATATTTTTATTATTAAGACTGCTAAAATCGGTGCTTAGAAACAGATTATCCTTACCTTTTACTGTAGGCTGATTATTGAAACTGGCCGTAAGTCGACGTGCGTGCACGATGCCGCGTTCTTGGTGACTGAGCGGGGGATGTGACGATTCCTCGCGCCTTTTCAGATGACGCAATACTTTTGAATTAGTCGAGTTTTTTTTAGTTAGTCAATTTACCCCTATGGTCTACCATCCCTGGTCTCCCTTACTGTTGTTAGGCAGATAAGCATGTATAGTTACTCTATATAAACTGTATGAACAACCTTGACTCAGGAAGAAATATTTGTGCTCATCACACAAACTCCTAGCGCGATTTGCAACCAGGACACTTCTAGCAATATGCAAAAGCATACTGCTAGAAAGGTCCTTTTTCAAAATGGAGAATGCCCATTGGTAGTATCGTCCTTGATCGGCCATGTACATCCACCTAATGTATATCGAAAATCAAGTTTTTATTTTCACGATACCATGTTAAATAATAAGCCATAACTTCGACAAACAAATATCCCTGTAATAAATTAGTAATTAAGTAATTCCCTTCCACTACATTTGTATTTTTTGACACTTGTCTCCTGGGTGTTGCCATTTTGTAACAACCATATCGATTTATCAAAATAGAATCGATTCACTTGTAGATAGATAAACACTTTATTACTCACACATACACAATAAAAGGGTTTACAAAACAGATAGTCAACTATGGTGGGTAAAGGCGGTCTTATCGCTGTAAGCGATCTCTTCCAGACAACCTTTAAGTCGAAGGATAGTTTAACAGAGATAGAAGAGTAATGTGCCAGCAAAATAGCAAAATATAAAACAAAATAAAATAGAAATATAAACTACATACAAAACATAATACCTACATACATATATATATATATATATATAAATAAGAATATACTATGCTTATAGGTACTGATATAAATATAACATATGTTAATAGAATAATATATACATATACACTACACATATAAGTTATATGTTGCAAACTAGGACCTTGATAAAAGATGTTCATGAAGCTTGTTCTTGAAAGTTGCAAGTGATGCCGAGTGACGGACTTCTGATGGAAGGTTATTCCATAAGATTGCAGCCTTGACAGTGAATGAATCCCCAAAGTACCCAGATCGGGTAAATGGAGTTCTAAGTAAATTGTCTGTCCTGGACCTAAGGTTGAGCACGTGATCGGTACTTAGAAATTCGAAACGTTCCTTAAGGTAGGGAGGAGAGCGAGGATCATACAGAACGTTGTACAGAAGAGTGAGAACATGCTCTTCACCTCGTAGTCGGATGGGTAGCCACTTCAATTTATTCCTGTATTCGGACATATGATCAAACTTGCGCAATCCATAAATAAATCTAATGCAAAGGTTCTGAAGACGCTAGAGCTTGTTTAACAGATCCTCATTAAGGTCAATAGTGCAGATATCAGCGTAATCCAGAATAGGCAAAAGAAGTGAATGCGCAAGTTGGATCTTGGTCCCCACAGTTAGCAAGTTCCTCCATCGCCGCAGTGAACCGGCAGCAGCGAATATCTTTCTGCTGACTTCAGCAATGTGAGGCGACCACGACAAGACAGCATCAAAAATTACACCCAAGTTTTTGACATTAGCACAAAAGGTCAAAGGGGTACAGGAAAATAGAAGAGGAATAATAACACTAGAATTGAGCATGGCCATCTGCTTCGATCCGCCAAGGATGATCGCCTGAGACTTCTGAGGATTCACTGTCAAGCCATGGGCATTACTCCATTCGTGAATAGTCTCAAGGTCAGCGTTTAGCTTAGCAATCATTCCGTCTAAGTTTTCAATAGAGGCTTGTGAATAAATCTGCAGGTCATCAGCATATAAATGATAATGACAAGAGAGGAGAGGGGTCAAAAAATTAATGAAGAAGAAGAATAGAAATGTGGAGAGGACTCCGCCCTGGGGTACACCGGCTGTGAGTTGACAGCAGGCAGACAGTTTGTCGTCAACTCGGACACATTGGGATCGTCCGATTAAATAACTCCGAAACCACTCGACCACGTTATCGGATACAAAAGCAGATTTTAACATTGCCAGAAGGATATCGAAATCAACAGAATTAAATGCGTTACTGAAATCTAATAAAAATAAGGTTGTAAGCCGTTGATTAGACATTCCCTCTCGCACATCATCAGACATCTTAGTTAAGGCAGTAACGGTGCTGTGTCCCGGACGAAAGACTGACTGGAAAGGACAAAGGATATTATTAAAGTTAGCAAATACGCTAACCTGGTGGAATACAAGACGTTCCAAGACTTTTGACAGGAAAGGAAGAATAGAAATAGGTTTCAAATGAGAAGGTTGGGTAGGATTTGAAGATTTAGGAATGGGGATGACAACAGCCTTGCGCCAGCAGCTCGGAAAATTCCTGTGGTGAGTGAAAAGTTAAATACATGGCAGAGAATGGAAACGCAAAAGGGCATGCAAAGGAGAATCATACGTCGGCCTCTACCATCTAAGCCCTCAGCGTTAGATTTAACAGCACGTATATTCTTTTCAATCTCACTCTCAGACACAGGCCTAAAAGAAAAGGGAGGATATGTCAATTTAGGAATACGAGAGAGGGACTGGAGTTTAACGTTATGAGGGATAGGAGAATTGAGCGTGAAGTGGCGGTTCAGGGAGTCAGGATTGAGTCCAGATTGAGAGGTAAACTCGATCTAGACATGCCAATGCCAAGTGAGCCCAGCAATGACCATATTTTCGCTGGGTTACCATTAGAAACAGAGTCATGTATATGGCGACGCTGTGTGTCTCTGCACATTCGACTACAGCCATTCCGTAGATCTCTGTACCGTGAACGGGTAACATCAGATGGATCATTTCTGAACTTCACCTTGGCAACGTTACGTCTGATCATTAAGGCCTTGATTTCCGCAGTAAGCCAGGGAGCCGGAAGGTGTTTGAGACGTATAGGACGAAGAGGAGCATGAACATCGAATAGTTGAATGAATAAAGAATTAAAGATTTCAAGCTTTTGGTCGATAGAAGGAGCTTCAAATACTGCATCCCAATCGATGCCGTTAAGGTCCGAAATAAAGCGCTTTTCAATATTCCCAAAAGCACGCTGCATAATCACTCGTGGCTTAGGTTTAGGACAGCGGACTTTATAAGAAAAGAAAATAAGGTAATGGTAGGAGAAAGCTTCTGCAGATAGTTGTCCGTGGGAACTGACAAGGTCAGTTGAGGAAACAATGGCCAGGTCCAACAGAGACGGGCGGCAATCGGGAAAGTGGTGAGTTAAGATAAGGGAAGTAAATTTAGATTAAGAAGTAAATTTAGATTAAGCGACTCCACAATTGAATGCAAACGACAAGAGCGAGCATCGTGTTTGATGAGGCAGGTGTTAAAATCCCCCATAATGATAGTATGATGAACCGTAGGAACCAAGAGAGTCTCAAATTTTTCAAAATAATCAATATGGAGGTTAGGGCTATAAAAAACTCCAAGAAGAACCTTGAGGTGGCCAAGGAGAACCTCAACAAACAGATGCTCAGATGATTCGGAGTACAAAGAGGGAGATTTATCCAAAATATTCAAAGAAAAGTGGTTTCGAAGATAAATGGCAACACCACCGCCACCCTTACCGGTCCTGTCATTGCGAATGAGATGAAATCCGGGAAGAGAATATGAAAAGGAAGGGAGAGAGGGTTTAAGGAAAGTTTCCGAAACCAGAACAGCATGCAAGTTAGGGTCATTTGAGAATGTAGTTATTCCATTAAAATAATGAGTTAGATTATGTTTATGATAATTCTATATGCTAAAGACAATATTATATTGCATTACAATTGTCGCAAAGTAGTCCAATCTGTAAATTAAAGATTATTAATTATGGATATAGACTCAAAAGTCCATAATACACGTTTAAACCGCAAATGCCTCGCGCTCTTTTTTTTCTTTTGCATTGGTAATAACAATATTAAAAAAATAAGCGTGAGGTATTTGAAAACCTTCGACGGTCAGAAATATAAACATAAAATCGAAAGCGTTAGCGTTTTGCAAAGCATTTCCGTGAGGCGAATGGCCCCCTAGTCAGTAATTTACGGCTGTCTTTACTATCGAAGGTTTGTCAGAAAAAGACAAACGTATCGCACCTGCTCGGTCGTCCGGTAAAAAAGCAGCTTTCGACAAATGGCAATGTTGTATCACATACATTTATGTCAACGTGCATGGCCGACGATCATGCATATGAGTCGTTCATAGTTTGCACGGTGTTCGGACTGATATCAATAAAATAAATGATTTTTTGCTTTACTAAGCATGTCATGCTGCCATACTGCCCACAAACTGTCAGATGTTACACGCTATACGTCTAAATATGACATTTATGCTTCTTCTATGATCATCATCATAGATATAGTACAAGGTGTCTCAAAAGAAATTTTATATTTAGTGGATCGATTAAAAAAAAAGTAGGCCGTATATAGAAAAAATATTTATTAATTATTAAAATACACTTTTTGGGGATTTCTAAAAAAAATTCCGTCTTAATGTAGACCCTCGCGTTCTCGGCACTCATTTAATCTAACAGTAAAATTACTTTCGCGCTTCCGAATTAAAAGGTTCGGGTCGTCACGAACAGACTGATTAACATTCTCCACGTTTTCTACCGTTCTTGATGACCTAGTTCGCCCGGATTTTGATTTATCCAGCGTTGTACCAGTCTCTTCAAACTTTACTTAACCCAATGTCGAATGAGAGGAATGCTTGGCGCATTATTTAAGTGGCGAAAACCTCGAATACTGCAGAATTTTCTACGCGCTACATTTGCCGAATCGCCGTTTTTTTAAAACTCTCGCACGCACAACGTGCGGTCTGCTCCCGAGAAACGTTATATAACGACTGAATTCCTAAGAGCCACGCTATTGATTGACATAACTCCCGCTCCCCTGGGATACGTTGCGTTCACGCAGTTAGCTAAATAAATATAAAATTTCTTTTGAGACACCCTGCATCATAGTATATCCAAGACAATGGAATAAATAATCAATTTGTATCAAACTACTGTGAAATCGGAAAAGCTAAATACCGATTTTTTTTTATAATTTAGCAAACTGACTTCCAGCTGGGACGGTCTGTCAAATTGTTTTTTTCACTGATGTAAGATACATCAGTTGGTTTGATCAGTATGTTCAGATTGTTTGTTCTTTGATTTGTTTGTTTGTGATAAATATTTCAGTGTTTTTCATTATTTTCTTTCTATTTCCTTTACGCTGATGTTTGATTTCAATCAACCATTTTATAGATAGATGAACTTAAAAAATTAAAAATTAGGAGTAAATATTAATATATAATGACCATTGATATTTCGTTTTACCCGTAGATCTAAAGAAAAAAAGTTTTTCATTGTAGAATCTACACATAGAAAACTACAATATAAGGTAAAAATCATCATTGTACAAATTTTTCGTATCGATACTACAGTCAATACTACGATGGGCATTATCCTTTATCTCATCTGATGTTTTACCATACGTGTAATATATATATTTTGAATGTCACATGTGTTTACATCCCGGCAAACTTTTCGAACAACGACCATAGACAAGGAAGCCTCCTCAGTAGCAATTTTACATACTAAACGTTTTGTGCGCAAGTTTAATTGTCTGTGGTTTTGCTCAAGATGTTTGCTGCGACCTATACCAATGATCATGAATTAACAAAAAACATATTTATTTGCGATTTAGGATCCATCATCAGAACCTGAAGAGAAACCAAAAGAACCTGAACCAGTGACTGACACAGAGTCAAGAGACAGTCCTGATAGTGGATTTCCGGACGATTCATTCCTCATGGTGTCACAGCTACAGTGGGAGGATGACGTCATTTGGGACGGCAACGAGATTAAACACAAGGTACTTATGTACTCTAGATCCATTCTCACCAACGATATTAAATACTCAATCAAGAAGTGCTTGAACACCACTCGAGCACTTCTTGGTACATAGTCACGCGCGGACCGCTTAAAGAGTCATAGAATAGAAATAATTTCTATATTCTTTCGCCTATAGCGACAAGTAAAATTTTACGAGCTTGTATTTCGAACTGTCATATAACTCTGACGCAGGCGTTAAAATTAAGACCTTATGTACTATGCGTTAACGGTGACTTTGAATACTTAAATAATGCCTTTTATTGCTTTTGACTACGCGATCATCCCTCAGAGCTCCATGGATCGTTCATTGTACCTTTTGGACAGGTTTAGAGCACAATTTTGTTAGTGATGTTGTATCTAGGGGTTTTAATATCATTGGTTCTCACATAAAAAAATGTGAAAGAAATTTTTGTGTTCCTGTCTGTCTGTGTGACAAAACAAACCGCTTCACGTCACACCCGTTGCACCCTTGATTCTTATTTCGACTAAACAGGTGAACCCTTTAGAAGGTGTATTAAACGTGTTATTTTTATTCGTTTTATCATTATTCTTGACGTATCGTACACTTTACAGGTTTCGTGGTCTTGAATTGTGTCTTTAATATTAAAGATCTTATATCCTATTTTGCGACCGCCGAGCCTGAGTAGGGTCCGAAGTATTAAAATAATGTAAATGCAATGCGCTTATACGCGCTTTATATCCGTTAATTTTAATATTGGTGTGTTTGAAAACATAAGAATACATATATGAATACTAACGACCGACCGCGACTTCGTTCGCCATACCTGTTAAATTTTTTATTGGTGTGTTTGTAAACATAAGAATAAATATATGAATACTAACGACCGCCTGCGACTTCGTCCACTTTAACTTTAGTTTTTTGAGAATCCCACAAGAATGTAACATTTTTCCGGGATAAAAGTTCTATGACTTAATTCAATTTCATTAAAATCCGTTGAGTATGTAATTGAGTAACAAACATACTTACAAACTTTCACATTCATTATAATTATTAGCAGGATTTGTACAATTTGTCTTTTTTGTTTGAAAAGGTCTTAGCTAGGTTGAACAGTAAGAGCAACGCCGCAGGTTGGGTTCCCACTTCAGTCAGTCGGACCGCTCAGCAGTTCTCACACCCGCGCCCCCAAGCACCTGCGCCTTTGCAAACAAAACCGGCCACGTATGTATTCAAACCCGATTTAATATATTTTTGTGTCTTACAGAGAATATGTTGTTACTTCCTTCAGATTTTCTACACATACTTCAAAAAAGAATTGCGCTCTTTAAATGTTTCTGCTTAATTTTGGTTTTGAAATGCCTTTTTTAATTGTCAATTCATTATGAAACAGTGTACAATCTGATTTCTAATCATAAACTTAATCTTAACTGCCCGGCTACGATTCTTGGCTAAGCGGCCAAAAAAAAGCAGCGATATAACCTTAGCACGAACCAATATTGAATTCGGATCGTTGAATTCGATCTTGATACGCGTCAAATGTCAAGAAGTTTTGTATGGAAGATTTTTAATTCTCGTTTCGCCCGAAAACTTCTTAACATTTGACGCGTATCGAGATCGAATTCAACTATTCGGATTCGATATTGGTTCATGCTAATGGTACAGAAATAATCTCTTTTTCGGTGACGGTGGTGGTGGAAAAACGGCTATATCCAGGCATGACCTGTCTGTTTTTGATTGATGATTATGTAAGTCTGTTTTTCTGTCAGTTCTACAGCATCAGCAGCCAATGCTCAGCCAGGGGCAGCAACCGGAGAAGGGGAAGACAACACTTGGTACAGCATATTCCCCGTGGAGAACGAGGAGTTAGTGTACGGAATGTGGGAAGACGAAGTCATATGGGATGCAGAGAGCATGCCTAAGATACCCAAACCGAAGATACTGACGTTGGATCCAAACGACGAGAATATTATACTCGGGATTCCAGATGATGTAGACCCTTCAAAGATTACTAGAGGTACTCAGTTTTTTGCTGTCAATTTTTAAGTGTAGCTATTGCCACTGTTTTATTTTGTTTGAAATAATCGCCCCTATACAAATAATTACTTATTTTTAAATTTATGTCAATGTACCGAGACAGTGTTTCTTCATAAATCCCAAATTAACGTAACGTAATGAGGGTGTTTTGGAAATTTTACGCCACCAGTTGGCGCCACTGTGATATGAGGATGAGGGCTTTTGAATGAAGTTTTTGGCTCGAATTCATCGAAGGAGCATTTAAATTGATCCATAGACAATGACGACATTCGGTATTTGACGGATGATTAGACATTTCGTGTCAGTGCTACCACCTGGCGCCCGTTATTCCGTATTCTTATAATTTTACTGCTTTAAAACCTACACTTGTTCTGAATTCCGTTAAAGGAACTGACGACCTCTGTGGCCGAGTGGTTTTGTACGCCGGGTTTTATGGTGTCGCCGACTCGAGAGGTCCCGGGTTCGAATCCCGGTGGGGGCAGATGTTTGTGTGATGAATACAAGCATTTTTACTCCAGTCATGGATGTTTAATATGTATTTTTATATAAATATACTTATATATGTACAGTATATGTATTCTATCCGTTACCCTAGCATCCCATTACACAAGCCTTACAATGCTTACTTTGGGGCTGGGCTAATCGGTGTTTTACAAAAAAAAATCGTATGTAGTAAACATTTATAATCCCGTTAACATAAAACGGGAAAAGCATATCGAAGAGCTCGATAACACAGTGGTTAGCTAGCTCGTTGGATCTGCGATCGTGGAATTTCTGCAACTACCCTTATCACCAGTCACGGGATGGGTGACCAAGAATTAATTATCTCGAACTCCACCGTGGTTTGGAAAGAACGTTAGGCAGTTGGTCATGGCTACTTCTAAAGGGATAACCCACCAATCCGGACCCACGTGGTGGCTAATGACACAATCTGCTAATAGGCTATTTGACATAAAGTTTCTGAATACGTTTTTCTTAGTGTGTAGTGACTCCGTAAAAAGTGGATATTATAATTCTGTTACGTATATCAGTAAAAATGCAATTTCAAATATGTCTCGGAAACGTTTCTCTATCAAGTATGGTGTGTCTACAGGCAGGTGACGTCAGATTTCTGACATTAAAACGTCAAACAGTACAAACCTTTTGTGTTTTTTTCTTAGATCTAAGTCACTTATATGTAAAAATTAATACTGAATAGAGATTTATTATTACGAGTATTATGTTTACAAGCAGTTGCCGGTATTTTAGGCTCCAATCCTAGGCGTTCTATATAAGTACTTTTCTATTTCATGATAATAAAATACTTTTCTATTTCATGATTTTTAGTAATCTTATCAACTACTTTTATTTTGAATAATATAATCGCCCCCAATATTCATGTGAAACACATATCAAAATAGGTACTTTATTTTTCATACTCTCAGAAAGCCTATTCCATCGAAAGGGAAGGCCTGGGCATTAGCAGTGGGGGACATAAACAGATTAGATTATTAGTATTGATTTTTAAATATTTATATTTTAGAGCGTGGACCTGCACCAAAAGTGAAGATTCCACATCCTCACGTGAAGAAATCTAAGATATTATTGGGCAAAGCTGGTGTGATTAATGTATTACAAGAGGATGCGCCGCCACCGCCGCCGAAGTCGCCAGATAGAGATCCGTTCAATATTTCAAATGACGTGTAAGTATAAAAGAAAATCATGATTGATTTATGTATAATACAAACCCAAGATCAAAGTCTACCTACGCCGAAGCGAAGTAAAGGAACAGGAAACATGTGTGTCTTTATAGTATACAGGGCGTCCCATGGAAACTATATTAAATATTGAAGCTAGGATATTTTACTGAAAGAAGACATCATTTTATTTTTAATAATAACTAGCACTGTATTCACAGATTTTTTAAAAACCGCCTGCTTCAACTGGGAATCAAACTTGTTAAAAGTTGAAATACATGTGTTTTTTGTTTCACATTTCACGAGTTTGAATCCCGGTGTTGGCAGGCGATGTTTTTTAAACTATGAATGCTGTTCTAGTTATTATTAAAAATAAAATGATGTCTTCTTCCAGTAAAATATCCTATCTTCAATATTTAATATACTTGCCCTCCGTGTAACAATCCCGTGGGACGCCCTGTATATATATATGAAACGGTACATAAGGTGTACTAATGATAAAAGGATTCTCTACAAGTACAAGTCAAACTTTTCGAAACAACGATAAAGAAATAGTGCTATTTATATATTAAATTAGTGGGTGTCCGCGACTTCGTCTTCGTGGAAAATATTGTTTGCCATACAAACTTCCACTCGCGTTTAAAGCGTGAATTCTAGGATAAAAGTTATCATATATCCTTTACTAAAACTATCTCAATACCATATTTCATCTAAACCGGTTCAGCGGTTTAAGCGTGAAGAGTTAGCATTCAAACAGAACGACACACTTTCGCATTTATGATCTTACTATGGATAAAGAAACTAACAAACTTGTGAGTGTTAACTTTCTGTTTGAAAAAAGTTCTAATAAAGTCTAATGTCAACACTTCACATGACTATTCGTATTTTTTATTTGCAGATCATCTCATATAAATGAATAAATCATTGTCACTTTCAGCCATTACCAAACGAAATCTCAGAATCCACGACTGAAAGTCGGTGGCGGTCAACTAATTCAACACAGCACTCCCGTAGTAGAATTACGCGCGCCATTCATACAAACCCATATGGGTCCAGCGAGACTGCGAGCCTTCCATCGCCCCGCTATGAGGAAATTGTCTTATGGGCCTTTAGCTGCCCCTGGCCCGCATCCGGTGCAACCCCTACTGAAGCATATAAAGAAGAAAGCTAAGGTAAGGATTTCTATCGGTAAGTGGAACAGTTAGGTTCCGGTAGTTTGAGGAAAAACAGTTTTTTTGGGACTTACAAACCTTACTAATGAAACATAAAAAAGAAGGAGAAACTAAGAATTAGCCTTTAATGTGCACAACACAGCATTCCTATAGTAGAATTACGCACGCCTTGCATACAAACCCATATGGGTCCAGCGAGACTGCGAGCCTTCCATCGCCCCGCTATGAGGAAATTGTCTAGAGGGGCGTTTAGCTGCCCCTGGAATGCATCCTGTGCAAGGATTTCTATCCCTTTTGAGGAAAAACAGTTATTTTTGGGAATTACAAACCCTACTAATGACACAAAAAAAACCCTGTAATGTGTCTCAACACAGCACTCCGTAGTAGAACTACGCGAAGCATTATCTGTCACTTAGTGGACCAGTTACGTTGTGGGTATTTAAGGAAACACTATTTTGGGAATTCCACTGACCCTGGACCGCATCCCGTTCAACTCCTGCTGAAACATGTTGTTTCGTGTCGGGTTGGAGTTTGAAATTATAATGCCAGTTTACGCGTGACAGTTCTTTATACAACACACAGTTCACACAGGTTTATCGTAAACACCAATATTAATTACACAACACTCATTATCTAACTAGTCTACGGAATTTGGACCGTACTCTACCAAAGTCCTTATATAATGGTACAAGAACACTTTACTTGCACCGTCATCCTTTGTAAACGTTCTGAAATCGCGGCTAAACTTAACTATCGCTGAGCCGAACGCCTTTATATACGCTAGTCGACGCATTGTAGATAAATCCAGTTCAATTAAGAATTCTCTAGTACCTACGAGTATTTATACGCAGGAAGCAAGCATGAGTTGTAAATTGTCTCATATTCCAATGCACCGCAACAATCGGCCTTAGTATTTGGATACTTTAGGCTAGGATATCGAACGATGGTCTTAACATTCTGGATAGATTTGTTTTCAAAGTGTTCGTGACAATATTTTTTTTATTCTAGCAACGTGAAGCTGAGCGTCTCGCGTCCGGTGGTGGAGACGTATTCTTCATGCGCACTCCCGAAGACCTCAGCGGTCGCGACGGCGAGTTAGTACTGGTGGAATTCTGCGAAGAACACCCGCCTCTTATAAGCCAAGTGGGAATGTGCACAAAGATCAAGAACTACTACAAGCGGACGGCTACGAAGGTAGTAGAACTTTAGTGTAATAAGTAATTTGAATAGCTGTAATGCTAAATAATTGAAATGCTTATGAATAGATTATTATTATTAGGTAATTTAATTGAATTTGAAATATTATGTTATTATAATGTTTGTTGTGTGTAAAGGTAGTGCCACATGGTGCACAGTGTGAATATAATATTTAAGGTTACACTGTGGTCATTAAGTATTTATTGAAAAATCCTTACGACTACTAGTTTTAAAATCATCCGAAAAGGGGTTTATCATTATTGTATAGTTACTTAGATTCAATACTTTTTTACGCCAATGAGCTAATAAGGAATCATTTACACTATCAGTATGTCTGGCTTATTAATCATATGTTACTGTGTATTGTGTTATTTATTAATACATAAATACAGACTGAAGGAGCGTGAGACAGATAGAAATAGAAACAAACAGAGTGAAAAAGAGATAGAGAAAGACAAAATTACGAGAGAGAGAGAGAGAGAGAGAGAGAGAGAGATACAGACGGAGAAAGATAAAAGCCAAACGGACAGAGAGACAAGTGATAGTACAAGTGTATTTTAGCTATGCTAATGACTGACTCTGATTCCACAGGACAGTGGCCCGAAACCATTGAAATACGGCGAAACGGCATACGCGCACACTTCGCCTTTCCTTGGTATTCTGGCCCCTGGAGCGACGCAGCCGGTCGTAGAAAATAACATGTATCGGGCGCCTATATACGAACACACGATGCCGCAGACCGACTTTCTCGTCATCAGGACTAGGTGAGAAATGTTATGTAGATAGGTATAACTCGTGTTATAAGAAAGTAATCGCAAGTGGCAACGTAAGACATTCTGTTCCTCTCGCTTATGATATCCTTAGTAACTTGCGAGGGAGACAGAATCTCTTGCTTCGGCATTTTCGATTCCTTTCTTTAATGATACAAGTTATACTTTGATCGTGAGTTTTTCCGCGTGGACTTCTAAGCTTCTAAAAGATATCCTTTCAGAATATTTATCTCGTGGCCCAATACCACTATATACAATAATTAACTATTACTGTGGATACGTTTTGTGTTTTTTTTATTATTCCGCATATGGTACATATTAGCATGTGTCTCGTTCCAGGTTATAAAATATATTGTTTAATTGTAGTCAGTATGTTTGCATGATTTGATACGAAACATCCAATCTTGGTAGAATATTTCACCATAATATATTTCAAAATCTCTTTTATTTTTACATGGTGTTCGGAACGACATTTAAAGGGATCCAATCGCAATTATTTGTTACAGACAAGCATATTACATTCGTGAAATCGACGCTCTTTATGTGGCTGGACAAGAGTGCCCCTTATTTGAAGTACCAGGTCCCAATTCTAAAAGAGCAAATAATTTCGTTAGAGATTTCTTACAGGCAAGTTAAAAGCTGTTGTTTTGTTTGTACTTTTTTAATTATACCTGCTTTTTTCACGGAAACGCGTCAGTTGAGTGTTTTTTTTATCACACAATTATAAAACTTTGAAGACGTATGTGTATATATGTTTGTAGGTCTACATTTATCGGTTGTTCTGGAAATCAACCCACAATCCGCGACGTATCAAGATGGATGACATAAAGAGGGCATTCCCTTCACACTCTGAGAGTTCTATACGTAAGCGTCTTAAGTTATGCGCTGATTTCAAACGTACGGGGCTGGATTCCAATTGGTAACTATATACATATTATAAGGTAGTGACACCAATGATCGATGAGAACTAATGATCGACATTACCTTCTGTGGTCAATGAAAATAAGAGTACGTAAACGATTTCGTAATATGGTAACACCGAGCGACTATAGCTTAGTGTTCCCACCCTCAGTGATCAGTCAATTTGTCTTATTTTTATTGATCACAGAAGGGGATGTCGATCATTGGTACCACTACCTTAGGTGGTTTATAAAGCCATTTTTTCTGGTTGCAAATCTACTGTTTATATTAAATGTAGGTGGGTGATAAAGCCCGAATTCCGTTTGCCGTCCGAAGAGGAGATTCGAGCTATGGTATCGCCCGAACAGTGCTGTGCGTACTTCAGCATGGCTTCCGCCGAACAAAGGCTGAAAGACGCTGGATACGGAGAGAAGTTCATATTCACACCGCAGGAGGACGACGACGAAGAGTTGCAGCTCAAGATGGATGACGAGGTATGTTTTTGGTTGTTGACTGGTGCAAAAGTAGGGCCTGGGACCAACGAATTAGAAATAATAATGTAATTCCGAACTGCGCTAAAAAGTGGGTCCACGCAAACCGCGATCAAATGGGCGGAGCGAAAAAAATGCGATCAACACGCCTATCATGATATGGGTTGGGATTTCTGTTTAACATTATCTTAGCTAATGAAAGGATCACCGAATTCATTTGCAGATATTTGATTTGTTTGACTATTTGAAACAGTTTTATTTTAGTATCCATTAACTAAACAAACGAGTGGCGTTTGTTTTCTGAAAACTAATGCTGTTTTATATATCTAAGTTCTATTTCAAATATAAATGATTGTGTGTTTTCTTATACTTGGGAGTGTGCTTTTATGTTACAAGAGCACTTCTAAACTTACGCAAGGGCAAGGGCGGGCGCTTAGAAGGTTGATGATGATAATATATTTTTCTATATTCTAAATATATTTTTACGCTTTCGCATTTTATTATAAATATAAAATTTTACGGGCATATCGAAACGTCGGGATAAAAAGAGGTACGAAAACATTTATTTGATAAGAAAACTTTCAGGTCAAAGTGGCGCCATGGAACACAACCCGCGCTTACATTCAAGCTATGCGTGGGAAATGCCTACTCCAACTAACGGGTCCCGCCGATCCCACTGGATGCGGCGAAGGTTTCTCATACGTGCGAGTTCCGAACAAACCCACCCAACAACCGAATGAGGAACAACAGCCCAAGAGAACGGTTACTGGAACAGATGCCGATCTGAGAAGGCTCAGTTTGAACAATGCCAAAGCATTGCTCAGGAAATTCGGCGTGCCCGAGGAAGAGGTAAGTTTTTATAGAAAGGTTTTTTACCGGAAAAAAATCTGCAATGACCTATATTTCTGCTTTTTATAAAGTTTACAATCGACCGCACCGTTTCGTAACATAGCTATTTTTTTTGTTTTTAAAATTTTGTTCAGTATAAAAAAAAGGTGGATTAGAAAAAGATTTTGATAGTTAGTAGATTATTTCTCTAGATTTTTAATAGCATTATTTCCTTATATAAGAAAAAGATGCATTTCATGCCTGTAATTTTCGTTGTTTAAGTAACAGAAATGACAATACGACACTTTGAACTGCCATTAAATTCAATTGTTCTTTTTGAGTATGGCCGTAAGTATTTAATCAAAGTGTGATCGCACTTATAATTTGATTAATATTTTATATCTATGTATAGATAAAGAAGTTGTCCCGTTGGGAAGTCATTGATGTGGTGAGAACACTTTCTACCGAGAAGGCAAAAGCAGGCGAAGAAGGCATGACTAAGTTCTCCAGAGGAAACAGGTTTTCCATTGCTGAACATCAAGAGAGGTTAGTCTAGATATCTTACAAGTTAAAAATGTATTGATTTTCTATAGTGTTAACATTGGCTCTTAAAGTAATTGCAAAGACAATAGCGCGTCAATTAACAATTATCATCTTTTTTCCTTGTCTTTGTACGTAATTCAATTTCTAACGGCTGAATCAATTTTAATAATATTTTGTGCATACGAGAGGATTTAGTCAGTCCTGGCCCAAAAAGGTGATGCTGCAGTGGGATTTTTAGATTAATTTTGAATTTTTTCTCTGAAAGATTAATAATTAAGACTTAATTCGTTTTAGCTGCATATATATTATAGGGACTTTTGAATACCTAAATGTAATACTTACTTAGGAAAAAGAAAGGAGTTAATTTAAATCATGTTTAATAGATACAAAGAAGAATGTCAGCGCATATTTGAGCTACAAAACCGTGTGCTGCAAAGCACTGAAGTTTTGAGTACTGATGAGGCTGAAAGTTCGGTTAGTGAAGAGTCTGATTTGGAGGAGATGGGCAAGAATCTCGAAAATATGCTTGCTAATAAGAAAACAACAGAACAGGTATACGATTAATAATATATAATTCTCTATTCCCTCTATCTTTATTCGCACTGTCATAGTGCAAGTCAAATTATGGGAGTAGTAGGTTTTTGATTCATGCTTGTAATAATTATAATGTTAGATTTAAGGATTAAGACTTATTCAGTATTATATCTTACTGTGTTTAAAAATCAGTTAAACAGAACATCTAATAAGTCTAAAATTATAAAAGTATTATTTGTGTTAAATTCCAGATATTTATTAATAACACACTAGAAACTATTGGCCATTGTTTGACTTATGTTAATCTATTCAAATGTATAATTATATTTTGTATGTTTTCCATAGCGTAATTAATATTTTTATAATTTTTAATCTCTGGCATTCTGCCAGTTTAAACCAAGATATTACATGAAACTATTGTTTAATTCAGCTGTCATTGGAAAGAGAAGAAGCGGAGAGGGCGGAGTTAAGGAAAATGATACTTGGTCAATCAGAAAAGAAACCACAAATCAATCAAAACGATCAAAGCCAGGCCTCCAATCAGGGTAAATGTAAAACCTTCTACAAAATAAACTTTATTACCATGGTGTAAGGTTGATAATTCAATCAATTTTTGTCCCTAGCCGGCCGCGTCCTAAGAATAGTACGAACATTTCGCAATGCTTCCGGTCAACGGTATACTCGCGTGGAATTAGTACGAAAAGCGGCTGTTATAGAAGCCTATACGAAGATCAGGTCAACGAAAGACGATAACTTCATTAGACAATTTGCTAGTATGGATGAGACGCAGAAGGAAGAGATGAAGAGAGAAAAGAGGAGAATTCAGGTTGGCTCTTGATTTGTTATGTGCCATGTCTATTTGATTGTTTACTTTATAAGATTCATAAATCTTCTCATTTGGCTCTTGAAATTTACTAGTATTATCTATATCTTTATATATTATTTGATATTTTGTTTGATTACTTTTCATTACAATATTTGGAGACTGTATGTTTATCATTCGTTATCCTTTCGGACTATAATTATGTTTTGTTAGTGTTACACAAAAATCTGAGATTTTATGTGTATGCTTTGACTGATGGCTTAAAAAAGTAAATATTTCTGTGTGTCAGGAACAACTGCGTCGTATCAAGAGAAATCAAGAGAGGGAGAGGCTTGCAGGAAATGTGCCTGGAATGTCCTCGTTTCCGGGTGACAGTGAGTGTTATGTTTTACTTAATTTCCTAAAAAAAAGAATTATATCCATTACATCTCAAATATCTAAGTATAGGTAGCGGCAAACTTCTTGAGCAAAACCACAGACAAAAAAACTTGCGCAGTGGACGTTTGTGTATGTAAAATTGCTACTGCGCAGGCTTCCTTTTCACAACTCGATTCGGTAGTTGACACTATAATTGGGCAAGGACCCACCTAGATGGTTTGGATTCACAGCTGGACCTGTAAGGTATTTATATTTTTACAGTGCAGGACAACATCTTCCATTATTATCTTTTTATATAGGTTTTAATGAACATACTACACTCAAAATAAAGTTTTTTCATTTGATTTTTCAGTCCCAATATTTATAAAAAGCGTTTTAAACACGTTTTACATTCTCCGTTGAAGTTCCGCAAGTTTTTTTATGTTTCCACATAAGTAGTAGATTTTTTCCCCACTAATCTGGACATAAATATTCTAACGATTATTTATTCTTCCTCAGGCATGAGTATGTCGTCGATGAATGATCTTAGCTCTCCATCTCCCGGACTAATGCTGCTGGGTCAGATCAAGCAAGAACCCGATGTGCACACGCCGTCGCGACGAAGAACTAAACTAAAACCTGATCTCAAGTTGAAGGTAGCTAAAAAACCTCTCTGCTTCTTTATGCGTATAAATTAAACTTTCGTGTTGGCTGATCATCGAATACATGACCAACAAATTTTATTATTTCGAGTTCTGGGCCCCAATCCTCGCAGCGTAGATATTATATTGGCTTCGAGATAATATCGAAAGTAGGGATATCTATTGAAAATATCTACTGATGGCAAAAAATGCTATTCTCGTGGATTTTTGATATTCCAATGATATTTTACCTATCGTAGACATTCGTTCACTGCCGAATACGTTCCGTTTTTCTCGATTAAGTTAACATCATAGTCTATATAAAATAATAATAAATTAAACAGTATTCTAAAAGAAAAAACAAATGATATTTTATATTTTATGAATGCCATTCATAATAAATATGAGTAGACATTTTTCGAATATAAGAAATCTCAACTTTACCTAAATTGTATGCATATATAATTTCAACGTTAAGTATAATGAAACGTCATTTTTTAAGTTTCTCCTTTTTTAAGGATGGCAAATGGAACAATGCCCATACAACCTAGTCTTTAGTTAAAGTAATCTTCTTTTTTTTACCTTAGAATGTCGGTCTAACGCATTCTAATGTTTCTTGGAGTGTTTGGCACGAAATATATGGAGTTGGCTTTTTCGATAAGCCCCTGTGAGGTAGTAAACACTACAATAAAGTTCACATGTCCACTTGCCTGGAATAGCGTATATTTTAAAGATTAGGATAGAAAACTCCGAAACGTTAATAAGAAAACGTCGTCCATAACTTTATTTGTCACTTATATTTGTCACGTTAAAAATTTCTAATCAAATTTTTGTTTAAACGTAATTTTTTTTATGATATCGGCGTCCCTCATTTCAAATGGGTCCTACTGCTCTCACAACGGCGGCGCCTACAGCAGCAGTCGCTTCATTTATTAAGTCATTGACGTAAACATGAATTAACTCATCCATTGTTACTATATATTGTTTACCTACCTCTTTATTTACTAATTATTTAAGAAAGCAGTTAACAACATCTTTAGGTAACAATAATTGGCAATGACACACGACAACACAATAAATAATAAGTAAAAAAAGTGAAAATGACAAGATTGACAAGCCAAGATCCATAGATATTTATATAGGGTGAAATTGAATGTTTCTATGAAACTTCGTGAGATTGTTGGGTTATGTGTATAGAGTATGCCTGTTTTTTTTCGGATTTTTTTGAAGTATTCTTTTTTTCATGATTTTATTTATAATTTGTGTATTTTTATGTCCTTTCCTCCTTTTGAGTAGTTATTCATTTTAAACAAACAAACTTACATATCCAGTGAAAAATAACTAATAAATAAGTACTTCTAAAAAATGGAAAAACATTAAAATTCCACGGCGGGTCAACGGCCGACCGCGCCCGCCAGCCGTTGAGTGAGTAGGTACCTCTACACAGAGTTCAGTTGACTCCTTTGATTCCACACAATACAATAAAGTCGTCTTAGATGCCTTTATTGAAATAATAAGCACAAATGTCATCTTCTCTTAAGCAGAGAAAAACTTTAAAAGTTAATAATAATTTTGTCACAATTAGAAATAGGCAAATGTTAAACAAAAAGAAATACTTATTGCAGTTCAATACTTGGGTGAAATTTATAACCCGGTATTCAAAAGTACTTACGATACCGATGTACCTATTCATTTTTTTCACTTAAACTTCCCGTATACACTTTGTAAACACAATCAATCACCAAACCTACTTTCGTAAAGCCTTGTGGCTCTGCTGAGTATTCCGTGACACTACAATAACAACACACCATATCCAATTTCTTATATTGAGGCCACAGAACAAGAACTAATCATGCCATTATTTGCAAATCTTCTCTTGTCACAAATTTAAAAGATACGCACGCGCGGTGGATAAACTTGACACTGCGCTCGCTCACTGCGCTTTGCACCGCGCATAGGTAGGTATTCAACCGATTCAACGGCGGGAGCGGTCATTGCTCCCGACCGCTCGTCTTCTGTTTTTACGTTTTTTTAGTAGTGCTAATTAGTTGTTTTTTACTTACTCTGTATGCGTGTTTAAAAAGAATAATTATTTAGTACCCAAAAGGAGATTAAAATATAACAAAAAAAAAACAAAATTTTATTTTAAATCATTTTTAAAAAATCCGAAAAAATTCAGAGATACTCTATATACGTAACCCAATAATCCCACGAAGTTTCATTAAAACATTCAATTTCACCCTGTATATCGAAGGCTCTTTACCAGTCGATGTATGTCTACTGATTATCCGTAGATAAATATCTATTGCGACATGGTGAAAATAGGACAAAATGGTTTTCCTTCGATAAAAGCCAATTCATTCGATATATATCGAAGGTGATATAATATCTACGCCGCGAGAATTGGGCCACTGCAGCTAGAACTGCAGTCGTTAGCAATCACCAATCAGCTTAATGGATTTTTCCCGCTCTCTTTGAATATAAGCTACAATAGTGTACCGTGTTCGCTTCTGAAAAATATGGTGATATGAAATACGAGATTTCTATGGTTTAAGACATTTATTTCTGAAAGAAATATACAAAATTCACTTACATGAGAATGACAAGGAACTGTTTCATTACACTAGGGGTGATGAATGAGACGAACGAAATGAAAAACAACAATACACAGTAGCCACAGACAGTAACACACACATAACCCAAATCACACTGTCTTTTAAACTCAATTTTGCTAATTCTTTTTTACCAAAGCATAATTTGAACAACATACGGGTGATGACTAACTTCTTTTTCTTTGTCTATCAGGTAGATTTTCAAAATGTATTGGACACGTATTTTTCTTCATTCACATAATCTAGGCATTACAGAGATATATTGATTTGAAATGTCGCATGACATCACGCCTTGGTAAAACTTTTGCTTAGAAGTGAGGCCACGAGCCCCCTCTCCCAATCTTTGTAATGTTTTGGTTGATTGACAAAAGAGAAATACGTGTACATTATTTTTTGATAATTTAACTGACGTACTATATATAATTATCATTCTTATTCATACCGTTTCTTTTGAAACATTCACGAAATTTTCTAACAGTGTGGTGCTTGTGGTAATGTTGGACACATGCGTACGAACAAAGCATGCCCTCTGTACACCGGCGCTATGGGCGGCGGACCTCCTTCGCCCCCAGAAATGGATGTGGAGGCACCGCCCGAGATCGATGAGGACGACCTCGGTGGATACGTGGATGGCACCAAGCTGACGCTGCCATCTAAACTAATTAAGGTGCGGTAATTTTATCTACACTCATGCTTTAAAGCCTCTATTACAAATTCCGAAACAGTTAGTTTATTATCGACATTAAATAAAACAAAAACAATACAAATTTTAAGCATTTAACTGCTCTATTTTTATATCTAACGAAAATATTACTAGAAAAAATTCCACGCGAACCAGGCAGCAGACAGGACTCGAACCCGCACCAAATTTATTACAAATTTTGTAATAAATTTTATTATAGCACTCCTTCGCTTGAAATCCCTTCCGCGCCAAGGGATTACTCACCAGACAGCCACAATTTCTACTACTCGATGCATGGTTTTATGAATTTCAAATAAAGAACATTGTCATTCACGCGCGTTACACTACCACAGCCCCGAAACTTTTCACGATTTTTAAGTTATTAGAACGCCCTATGCTCTCGGATTTTTTTATAGAAGATTCATATCATGGGTGTAAATAAGGTCTTGTATGCAATTGTTTATAATTAGGTATTAAAACACTCATTATAAACCCACATTCGTGTTTAATACCCCTCATTATACAACAGTTGCATAAATAACTATTATTTAATCATATGACACTTCATTAGGTTGTAAGTAACTAGAATTGTAAATCCACATCCAGGTCGCGCAGCCAGTTAGCTGCCGCAGGTGTAAGTTCGTAGATTTCTCTCGGGTCGCTTCGGTAGCGATGTTTTGTACATCGTTCTATGATATGCAGTCTGGTCTTCAATGCCACAGTCACATAACGGACTGTCTCTCCGTCCCCATATGTATTTCATGTAGTTTCAACTGCCACATCCCGCCCGGATTCTGTTAAGGCGATACCAGTACTTCCTCTGTATGGAGAAAAACCTTTGGATGGAGTAGCTACTTCAGCATTCATGTTTGCCTAAAGTCTGTTTTTAATCTCGGGAGACAAAAATGACACATGCAAATGTCATGGCGGCACTACACTTGGCCATTCGTGTTTGCCTTTTAGTCATGTTTGACAAAAAATCAACAAATGTGGTTAGTTAGGTCGACAAAATATTTGCTTTATTGACGAACATCAACATATTTGACAAATAAGACTATTAAAATGATCGTCATCTTGCTAATCTATCGTTTTGCGTTATTTGGCACCACGTGTGGGTGGTTTTTTTTGACATAAAAATAGATATAGAATGGTCAGTCTATGGGTGTAATGTCTATGGATTTTGCTATTGTCATGTTTGTGGCCAAGTATGGTCAATTCATTTGACAAAACATTGGCTTTATTCGCACATTTAGCAAACATGACAAATACAAACACGCGTTACCGCTCCGTTGTCGGTTTTTCAGCGCACATCAAAGGAGCACGGACTAGGAAATGATGCAATTATAGTATACTACTTTTCTGGCTCGCACTGCTTGTTAATTTGCCTTTCTAGTAGGAAAGGTAGAGAAACCAATTTTAAGAATCATAATCAATAAGAAGAATTGTTACTTTAATAGGATCAGGGTAGAAGAGTTAAAAAATAAATTAACCTTTACGCAGTAATCGACTTGCTGGATCTAGCGTGCGAGGCAGCGCTATACACGTAAAAGAGAAGGAGGAATCTGTTTTAAGTGTATAGCGCTGTTTCACACGCTGGATCCAGCAGGATGCAAAGTACGCAGAGCTTTTAATATGTCTTAAGCTTAGGGCATGGAACGGATTTTTCGTTTGTTTCTTTGGCGTCGCTATTTTATTGCGGTTTATGATGAATTTCTACAATCCAGGTCCAGGTATCATAAAAACAGATAAAGTATGAGTGTGTACTAATGGAATTAGATAAATAAATAAAAGGTTGTACTGCACTGTAAAGGATTTAAAATCATAAAAGATTTCGTGATGTCGGTGTAAAGAACTTTAACGGGCAAAGTTAAGATGTCTGATGCAAGTGCAGGCGCTGTTGTGGTTTACCAACCTTTTTTACCAAACAGTTTTAATAGACAGTTACAGGACATAGAGATTAGTATATACTTGCAACAGTACTATTAATACTGAGGTATCTTACAAGAAAATATAAATAATAAGGCAAAAAGCAGGTTATTGTTTATTCACAGTTTACAAAGTCATCATAAAATCATTTCTTAATTTAGTATTTTATAAGTGTTAATTTCCGATTGTAGTACATCACTACGAACTACGAACCAAGTTTTGAGCAAATGGTCATATCATTTGCTCACACAACTGTGGCGCGCCTGCCTCGTCCACAAGGCCCTTTTAACCTCTTTCTGTGTTCTGACCCATAGGTAGGGCGTATGCCCCAGCTGCGGGGATATAATTAGACTAATGATGATACTTTCTCAATAGCAATCAGCGGAAGACCTCAAACGTCGCGGCAAAGGCGGTCGCGGAGAATTTCGCGCGGCGGGGCGTAACAAAAGACGCGGCACCGCTTCGGAATCCTGCGATTATTTAGTCAAGAGACCGGCGGAGAGACGACGAACGGACCCGCTTGTTACCCTCTCCTCGCTATTGGAGGATGTGCTCAACCATATGAGACATATGCCGGATGTTCAGCCGTTCCTGTTCCCTGTCAATCCTAAGGTAAGTGGGATTCTTGCCTGCATTTGAAACGTACGAAACTTTCGCCTAATATTATGTATGGTGATGCCAAGCTTCTAAAGATACGTAAAATTAATATGATCCTCATGATAATGAGCGGTTCACACGGTAAGCGGATTTGTTACACCCATACTACATCATCTAATAGTGACCGAAATTGTGAGATTCCTTCCGATTCATATTTTTTTCGATAGTTATTTCGCAGTTATTGTACATTGAGGCATTGTGATACGTTAGAACGTTGGTGCCAGGGCTTGTTTACCGGTTAATTTTCAAACCTAAATCAGTATCAAGTACATTAGGAGCGTTTTATTCAGGTTTGGCCTCTACCTTAACCTTAAAAAACCGGTTTTCCTAAAAAGTGAAATCATATAGGTTTTGAATCAATTTAGCGGTTTTAAAGGGTTTCATTTCGCTCTTACTGACGGCATCTTCTTCGCCGTTTCAATTCAAATTTATAATGATTTTATGTCACTTTCTTTCCAACTACAGAGAGAGTGAGTGAATTAGTGTGTCAGTACACAATTACAAAATGAATAATTTGACTCACTAGACGCTAGCAAACGTGTCAATAAATGCATCAATCTCTGAGCATTAACAAATTGTAACTTGATTAGTTCAAACAAAACAAACTTCATGCGATGAGGACGCGTGCACGTGTCGCTCTGGATTAAACCGGTTTATTAAGGTTTTAGGTACCGCTTTCATCTCGGACGCGCTCCGAACGAAACTTTTACTAAAAACACCTTTATTTACCGGTATTTTCGAAACCGGTTAGAAGCCCTGGTTGGTGCAATTATATTTGCATAAAATTACATTAATATTTTAATACTTTGAAGTGAGGCGTTAGTTTCTCGGCATTTTTTGAGACCGTGATCAGCTATCAAACAAGTGATATTGTATATAGCAGGTTCAATAATAATATTTTATTTCCACATAGATGGTCGCGGATTACTATCGCATCGTGTCAAGGCCGATGGACTTACAAACCATACGTGAAAACCTACGACAAAAGCACTACCAGAGCAGAGAAGATTTCCTCGCAGATGTCAATCAAATCGTCGAAAATTCAACCCTTTATAACGGTAGGATGGAACGATTTAGCTTGATAAAATATAAGTCAGTAAACTTCCCTACTACGGATTTTAGTTTTTATATTATATAATAGTGATATAGTCGAGAGATGTGAAGTGAACCCTAAAACCCCCTCGATTCGCTGTTTAAGAAAAGAGTACCGCAAGGCTCAATCATTAGACCTTCCCCATTTTATTGTAACTAAAACTATTTTTGGAAGTACTTGTCAAGCTCTATAGTTCTAAAGTAAATGGAAAAGGCAATGCAATGTAAAGTTTAGAATTGGATCAATTCTCTTGTTACGCATTTTGACAGTCCAACAATATAAAGTGTAAAATATATCAGGTCCAACGAGTAGTCTGACGGTGGCAGCACAAAGAATGTTGCAGAGATGTGTCGAAAAACTCGCAGAAAAGGAAGAGCAGATCATAAAACTCGAGAAGCAAATCAATCCACTTCTTGATGACAACGACCAGGTTTGTAATCAGAACTCTTAAACTTTTTAAAAAATATTTCTGTATTTTACTAACAGCAACGTCGTCCTCTGACTAGAGGTGGAAACCGTATCTAAATAAATAAAATAACCAGGTAGACTCGAAAAGTGACATTATTTTATACTGTGTATGTACAAACTAATTGCTTTCAATCTAATTGCAACTAATCCTTATGATTTGTATAAAATAGTGTGTCCTTAAGATGAAATTCGGATAAGCAAGAATAAATCGATTCGATTGATTTAGTCAAATGGGATATAATTAAACATAATTGTTGATGTAACGTAACTTATTAAGTCATGACTGCTTTATCATACTTATACAGATAGTACCTGCAAAAGCTCCGTAGCTGAAAAAATATTTTCTTTAATTTCCTAGGTGGCGCTTTCCTATTTATTAGACAATCTGTTGACGACAAAGCTTAAGGTGATGCCGGAAGCATGGCCTTTCCTGAAACCGGTAAACAAGAAGCAAGTGAAAGATTATTACAGCGTCATCAAGAAACCCATAGACATGGAGACGATGAAAAAGAAAATATTAGGTATGTTTTCTCACTATTCACTCAGTACTCCAATCCTCCAAAGTAAGCGTAGTGCTTTTCATATGAAAAAGGTAAATCCTACTAATATTATTAGTATGAATGTTTTTTTTGTAATGTTTGTATGTTTGTCACTCAATCACGCAAAAACAGATCGACGGATTTAGATGAAATTTGGCACACATATAGTTTATTATCTGGATTAAGACATAGGATCCTTTTTATTCCGATATAATTTTATGTTCCTGAGCGTTTTACAAAAGACTTAAGTTAACGCGGACGAATGCGCGGGCGGCCGTATTCGATTAAAGGTGCAGGTTACTTTTGCAACAGGTTACATTTATTGAATAATTTGAACTCCTACCAATATGCCTTATTAGTTTTCTATTTGAAAGATGTTTACAAACTTGAACTAAGTTTAATGTATGAAAGTTGGCATGAGCACCAGTTTTTTGCATGCGTGATATTTCATGTACCTACGATAGAATTTGACAGATAGATAGACGTGATAAAAACTTGATAAAATAGCTCTAATCTGTATGAAATGAAAATAAACTATATTCAAGTTGACTTATTGAAAAGCTCTTTTGAATCTTCCCTATATTTCTTTTTTCTTACGTTCTGTTCAGGGCATCTTTTAGCTGAAAAAAAGAACAGGTGAAAGAAACCTCTTTTTATGAAGTTCTAGCGGCCGCTCGCGACTTCGTCCGCGTTAACTTTTAGTTTTTTTTTCTAAAATTAAAGAATTCATCTATACTAAAAGTAGCCTAAGTTACTCCTTATTACATCAGCTACCTGCCAATAAAAGTCCCGTCAAAATCGGTCCAACCATTTCAGAGATTAGACGGAACAAACACAGACAGAAATTGTAAAAAATGTTATTTTGGTGTATGTACCGTATATATATTCATATGCATGTAGTAAAAAGCGGTTATTTCAATATTATATACAGAAATTCCAATTTTATTTATATGTGTAGATGTATAGATTATTTCTTATACAACAGCCCACAAATACCACAGTCGCGATGAGTTCTTGCGCGACATACAGCTACTGGTGGACAACTGCCGGGCTTACAACGGCGTCCACTCGCAGTTTACTAGGCAAGCTGAAGCTATTATGAAAGTCACACAAGACGCACTTGAACAGGTAAAATTTAGCAAAATACTTAAAATGATACATAAAATTTTAAATGATTAAGTATGTATTTGAAAATATTCCTGAAGTTAAAAGTCAATAAATACGTATCTGCATTGAATTGGTAGCGTAAAGAGTACATGGAAGTTTCCCGCATAGAAAGTCTATAGAACCGGTTTTCATGGTGACGCCATTTCTGAAGTCGCCAGTTCAATTTTATTTATAAAAGTGTAAGTGGAGACCTGATGTGGCAGAAAAAAGTGCTGCACCATTCATCTTCCCCTTGCCGCTTTGAACCAAATCCACATTTTATTGTGTTTACCTGTGGAAGAAGTCACAATAGATATTTTTTTTGTTAAATTCGTCGTAATACCGCTATAGTATGGTACGCCGACACAGATATGTTTAAACATCAAAAACAAGCTTAATTTCGTTTTAGAACTTCGGAAGAAATGTTTCTACTCTATATATCTGACGACTTCTGTGGCCGAGTGATATGTACGTCGGGTTTCAAGGTGTCGCCTACTCCCGGGTTCGACTCCCATTGGGGCAAATGCTAGTATGATGAATACGAGCATTTGTACCAAAGTCAAGGATGTTTATATGTATTACACGTATACATAAAAATATACATATATGTATCAGATGTATTCTATCCGTTACCCTAGTATCCCATAATAAGCCAATAACACAAGCCTTACAATGCTTACTTTGGGGCTAGGCTAATTGGTGTGAGTGTTGTAATTATTTATTTATTTATTCTCAGTTCGGTGAAAACGTTAGCCAGCTAGAAGCAAACATCGCCCGCGTACAACAGAAGATGCTAGAAGACGCCGAACACTCAGATTTGGACGTGGAAGAGCCAGCACCGCCTTCGGCAGGGCCATCTGACGAGAAACGGGGACGCGGAAGGCCGAGGAAACATAAAGCTTCCACCTCCGGTGCTTCGGCTGATGGTAAGATTCAATGAAAACTTTGCAATACAGGCAGTCCTCGTACTTACGGCATGTTAGGTTCTCGAAATACACGACGTGAATTAAAACGACGTAAGTCGAGACATCCCCACGGACGCCGATCCCAGGAATAGTGTCAAAACATTGTTAGATGTAACTTGAAACGACGTAAGTCGAGGACTGCCTGTATTTATAACTCGTGTCATTGAAGAAAGTAATCTAGAATGATGACGTAAAATATTCTGTCTCTTTACCACGTCACGTAGAATAGCATATGGGAGAGGGACAGAATGTCTTACGTAGTAGTAGTTTTTTCACGCCAGACAACTGTGCTTGTTGTACAAAACGCAAGTGCGGTCCTGCGTGGAATATTGCTCGCACCTCTGGGATGGCTCCGCTAAGTACTTACTCGATGCCTTAGAAAGGTTGCAGCGGTGCGCTGCCCGCATCATTGGCGATGAAGAGGTAACTAAGAAACTCGAGTCTCTACAATTACGCCGCGATGTGGCATCATTAAGCGCATTCTACCGACTATACCACGGCGAGTGTTCTGAGGAGTTATTCTCCCTTATCCCTCCATCACCTTTTCTTTAGAGGACCACGCGTGCTGGCGTACGTTGCCATCGACTTACTGTGGCCACTATTCCTACACGAACAAAGAAATTTGGTGACTCATTTTTATTGTTGTACTATTCGTAAGTGGAATTCTATACCCGCGCAAGTGTTCCCTCCGTCCTATAATCAGGGGGCCTTAAAGAGAGGCGTGAAGAAGCATTTTTGCAGGCCGGCAAGGTGTAGCAGTTTATAACTGCTGTACCAGCTATATTCGCGTTTGGACTTTATTACCACTTAACATCAGGTGGGGTAGAGTCGTTTGCCTACCTCTATATACAGGGCGTCCCACGGCTACCTCACACGGAGGGAAAGTATATTAAATATTGAAGAAAGGATATTTTACTGAAACAAGACATCATTTTATTTTTAATAATAACTGGAACTGCATTCACAGATTTTTTTAAAATCGCCTGGTTCAACTGGGAATCAAACTCGTGAAATTTTGAAAAAATAAACAGCATATTTTATGATAACCATCGAAAGGGTTAATCATAAGGATTATTTTTTGCTAAATAACAAAGCATTTTAAATGAAAGGAATGTCTTATTACGTGATAAAAATAATAAAGTAATATACAAACTGTAGTACTCGTACGTATGCATTTTTTGCTGAACTCACAGTTACAATGCGACTGCCTGAAATTTATAAAAATAATAATTCGAAAATGGAACACATAAATTTTCAAGCGTCTGCAATTTTATTTGCATTATAAGGGAGGATTTTTATAATTGACATTTTACTACGATTTGTAGTTATTTTGAATGTAAATGAACATAAAATCATTGCGCAAAATGAACCACAGGCAGCATAATAATAAAATAAAATTATTATATTGCCGCCTTTGATAGTAAATTATTAGAATGACCGATTTTGAACCGAATCTTGGTAAATATGGCCGCCTTTGACGCGAACTAAATGTTATGATAGCCGAGTATGAACAGGGTTGTCAAAATTAAAGATTGTTATATTTAATTAATATTTTTATTGAAAATTAACAGAAATAAAGAACAAATAATAGACTTAAACAAAAATAAAATTATTTAAAATAAAAAAAAATAACTAACATTATTTCGTAGTAAAAAACAAAACTTTTGTATACGCAATCACACAATGTTTGATTAAAATTTCCTTTTATGGTTTTAATGACAAACATAAAAAATCACTTGATAATAAGAAACTAAATTATTAAGCCGGAGTCTTGCGTTCTATTTGGAAGATCACTTGCAATTGGGCACACACCGCAGACATCATAATATGTGTTTGCCATCACGACAATGGAATATTATAATAAAATCAACTAAATTGAAGTAATTGTAATGAATGGACTATTGTACGTACTATAGCTCCTATTTAATAAAATTTTAAATATAAAAATACATTTCTACGTACAAATTAGTACATGGATAATACCTACCGATAATGTTAAGAGGAGAAAAGGATAACAAAAATCATGTTTCAATCATGAAACAATATTCCACGGGCAGGACCCGTAATTATCAACAAATATTATTATTATGATGTTTTTGTGACTTTTATCCGTGTAATTATATTTAAATAGTAAAATCAAATAGGTGCCAACCCTAACCTAGTAAATAACACGAAATTATCTTAGCTTTTTATCACAATCCTCTTCCATGCATGCTTGTGTAGTACGTGTTGGAGTTTGCTCCATGATAAGTATCAAACACTAAAGAAGAAACTTTATATCACTAAAAACTCAAGACAAAAATGTATTGAACTCCACTTTCTGCCATGTTGCGACGCTATTGCAGAAACACTTCTGATTGGTTGAAATTAAAATATGGCCGGTTATGATTTTGAGATGAGAAAGATTGCCAACTTTGAAACCAAATTGTGTTTTCAATCAAGTTTTTAAGGGTATTATGATCAGCTGTAATCCTGAATGAGAGATTTTTAAGATTTGTTTTTAAATTTCCTGTGTTACCACACTTCACACTCATTTTTGAAAATCTACCAACTTTGCCGCCTTTGATACTATACGACTCACTTATGAGTAACCCTTTCGATGGTTATCTTAATATATGTCGAGTTTTTTTTTCGAAATTTCACGAGTTTGATTCCCACTTGTAGCAGGCGTTTTTAAAAAAAATCTGTGAATGTAGTTCTAATTATTATTAAAAATAAAACGATATCTTCTTTTAGTAAAATATCCTATCTTCAATATTTAATATACTTTCCCTCCGTGTGAGTTAGCCGTGGGACGCCCTGTATATGTAAAACAAATAAAAGTAGTGATGTGAATTTTGGAAAAATAATCATGAAAAAAAACAGCACCGTTTTTTTTAACTTGGTTTAAAAATAAAAGTTTTATAAAGAAATATTTATTATGTTTGATTTCACAACATGTTTTCAAAAATTAACATTCTTCAAATGCGCTTCATATTTCAAACACATGTAAACAGAACGGAGAATTCGAGGATTTTCCCCTTGAATTCTGTACTTGTGAAAATCAGTCATGTTTTTTTTTTGCACTAAATTTACAAAAAAGTTAGTCCTATGTCGTTATTCTTGTTTCCTTTATTGGATGACACGAGATATACTTATCTTTCCAGAGAGCGATACCACAAAATAAAAAGCAGCCACTTGGACAGCAACCACCATCATGCATAATAATTATCTAACTTACTGTTACACATTTTTGTCGCTTGTTACGAATAAATTGTGCTTGAAACTGTGTGAGATTTTTTGTAAACGTATCGTCAATGTGTGCATGTAAGAAATTACGATTTGGTCGGAACCTACTCTGCTTGAGCGCGACGGTTACGTATTTGTCGGTATAATCTCGAATTGAGCTCATTTAGGTATGAACTTCCTGTTATCTTCAGAAAAGTCGAATTTTCACAGTTTCTCTTGATAAATTCTGAGTTATGATTAAATGATAATATAGTAATACATTATTTTACTTAACTGTTAATTAACGACTTACTCAACGTCCACCGACTGCTTTGACTTTGACTTTACGTTATGTTTTATTTGTTTCAGGAGCTACGCCAAGGAAGCGCGGTAGACCGAGAAAAGACCAAAACAGTTTGGAAGAAGGTGAGATCTCTGCAATATTTTATTATTTTCTAGAGAGACGTTAGACACCATATTGAAATGATAGTAATGTTGACTTTGTTTTTTAGACTTGCAATATTCGGATAGTGGTAGTTCTGAACTCGAGGAAGTGGAACAAAAGGACGCGATCGAAGGACTGGTGCAACTTTCTGTACGACCAGGTTAGTGGAAATACAAAATCATAATAATGTAATGTGTGGTCTTACCAGACCACACACGTTCTATAATATTGCTTTATTTTATTTTTTAAAACACTTAAGTTTTAGTATTTATTGAACAGGATTATATTTAATTTATTTGTGAAGCTGTTTAAAATTTATATGAATTAGTTAATGAAAATCATCATTAGTTTCCAACGGACCTACTTGGAGATGTTAACTAACTTTTATGGTTGACTACTTTGCGATAACAATAGAATGAAATAACACGTGACCGAACGAAGCTTTAAATTAACATGGCGTTTTTGAGTAAGGCTGTTGAAATTGACGAAAACACGGAAGTTATCATATTTTCTTATAGTATAGTGATAAATGAATAATAATAGTATAGTTTTAGTGGGTACTAGCGGCCGCCCGCGACTTCGTACGCGTGGAGTTAGTTAGAAATAAAGGTTCACTGCTCGTTCCCCGTAGGTGATAGCGTTTACAAAAACACTAAAAACTATATTTTTGGCTTTGGTATCGATTGTAGATCACACCCCAAGTATTCTTTTAAAAAAATATTCAATTTACAGTTTTGACTTTCCTACCATTTTATTATATGTACAGATTTGAAATAAAAAAAATATAAAAAAAATCTTTTTCCGTATAGAAGATGACATAATGCCAATGGGTGAATCGAGCTTCGACACGTCAGAGTTCTTGATAAAGAGAGAGGTGATGGACGAACCGCCCCCACCGACCGATGACCTGGTCGATTTGGACCAACAACCGACCGATTACACCTTCCCCACTGTTGTCAAGGTAATATCTAAGTTAATTTACACAAAAAAATCCATTGACTTGTTTTGATTATCTTCTCCGGCTCGAAGGATCAAATTTAAATTTCAAATATTTAAGTGTACAAGTCAAAGGTTTATCGTTCCAGAGTAGTATACATTTAAGCCAATATCTCACAAAGAAGATTCTACAAAAGTATATCGTATCCGAAAACCACTATACGTTTTTAAAAGATAGATATTGAACCTGACTCAGTCATGATTTTCTAAACTTAAAACTTGAAAAAATGATTTATTTTATTTTAAGATTTAAACAGAAATTATTATTTAGTTTAGAAAATCATGATTGAATCAGGTCCATTATAAAAATATGTCATTTATTATACTTATATATCACTTGGCTAGGCGGGGCCCGCGTCTTCGTCTGTGTGGATATATTAGTCTCTCTTACAAACGCTGAACCCCCGTTTTACCCCTTTAGGGGGTGAGTTTTGGAAAATCCTTTCTTAGCGCACACCGACATAATAGCTATATATGTGCCAAATTTCAGCGCAATCCGTTCAGAGGTTTGAGCTGTGCTTCGATAGATAAGTCAGTATAGATTGCCTTTATATCTAATATATAAAATTCTTTCCGAAACGGCTCCATCGATTTTCGTGAAATTTTATAAGCATATTCAGTAGGTCTGAGAATCGGACAACATCTATTTTTCATCCCCAAAAAAGAAGTGTGGACCATCCTTAATTTTTTTTTGAAAAATTTTTTGTTTTTGTTTTTTATCCAACGATATTAAATACCCTAGATCCACCACGAGCGCTCTAAATGTGTCCCAATCAAGAAGTGCTTGAACAACACTCAAGCACTTCTTGGTTCACAGTCACGCGCGGACCGTTGAAAAGTAAAGATGCCGCCGAGCTCCGTGAAAAAATGCGAAAAAATTATTAGTAATACGTAAAGTGTCGTTTTTTCGACAGGTGTCTATCAATGTTTGTTAATTTAACGCATTTGAAGCAGATTTTGTGCTAATGCTTACTATAAACTGATTTAGTATAAAATATTTCTAATATTCAAATGCACGGTCGGTTATAAGTCGCCGTATAGCCGTCTCTTTTCCTCGCGGTCCGTCCTGCTATATTGCTAACAGCGCATTCACAATTGCGCGTTAAGTCAAAATCATAAGGTCTATATTCTTCCACATATAGCAATAAGTCGTAAAATTTTACGAGCTTGCATTTCGAACTGTCATAAGTCATGACTTTCAATGTTTAAATAATGCCTAATATTGTTTTTGAACACGCGATCATCTTGTGGAGCTCCGTGGACACGTTTCAGCCACGATTTTGTTCGTTTTGCTGTATCTAGGGTATTTAATATCGTTGGATACATCATACAATAATACATACACCCTAAATTTTCACCCTTCTACCACCAACCCCTATTTTTTTATGTCGGTTCGAAGTTTGCTGGGACAGCTAGTATATATATATATATAGATTATTTATGCCAAAACAAATGGTATCTTTAATTTCAAGATAGTCACGAATTGTATTGATATTGTTAGGAGGAGCCAATAGAACCAGATATGCACATGGACCCAACTGTAATGGAGGGTACTTCGATAGAACAGCCACAGTTCAAGGAAGAGCCGCCGGAGAACTGGCAGGTTAGTGTTAATAGAAAAGTATTATTATTAAATGTAGTAGATATAAGATGTTACATGTTATGAGATCATTTAAGTTTTAAGTGTTTTACAAGGAGAATATATACTTTACTAGTGGTCCGCCTTAGCCTTGCTCCTATAAAGACAATTTTCGTTATAGGGAAAGTGTTATACATTAAACATTCCTTAAATAATTTTCTAATTGATAGTGAAAACCGTTTTTTTAAGATTATCTTGAACTTATTTACAGACAGACTCGGCGGGGGTCTGTCTTGTAATAATTATAACAGGATAAATATAAAAAAATAGAAAGTATGTGTGTCGTCTGTTTGTCTTACGTCACTCTTTCGCGCCTAAGCGTCACACAAGTTTTATTATATCATATTTATTAATCGAATATGATCGTAGCAGAAAATGTATACCGAACTGTACTGCTGCGATGTCTTCTAATACTTTGGTCTGATTAATTTAAAATATTAATATACCTGGATTTGTTTTGAATGAATTATTTTTCCCACAGCCGGATCCCGCAATACAAGACGATTTGCAAGTCACTGATAGCGAAGAAGAGGCAGAAGATGGACTATGGTTCTAAATGAATAATTAAATATAAATACAATATAGACTTTCGAATAATAGAAATATAATGTCTCAAAACCATACGTAGACCTCGGTGAACGGAGAACTTTTGTAATTTGATCAGCACATCAGTAATGATGAGAATCGTTATCTCACATCAAAGATACATAATCGTGATTGATTTGTTGACCATTGTACAGACTTTATTATATCAAATAATTAAATTACTTTTTATGTTTAATAAAATAAAAATGTAACTACACACTATGATTATTATTTTGACAAATGTTATATGTACCTGAATGAAGCACTCCCCAAACACGAACTTTGACAGATCCGTGTTCGTATCGCCATCGTTAAAGTATCTATGGAATCTAAGCAGCACCCCTACCGGACGTAAGAAAAATGTATTTACCTCTATAGAAACTTGAACGATGGCAATATGGATACTTTCTCGTTAGTTGTTCGTAATTGGGGACTGAACTAAAACATCTTGGGGCCCACTCGAATGCACTTACCGCTCGAACTAAATAATTATTTAAAGATCTTATATATGTATATATTACTAGCGAACCCGAAACAGCCGTTGTCCTGTACGATAAAATATGAATGATTATTCTTTGAGTAGTTCGATAGCGCAGTTTGTTAGCTAGCAAACGTGCCAGTTAAGCAAATGTATTTCGCATTTGGACGGATTTGCAAAAGGACGGATTTTTATTTCGCAGGAATACAATAGTTAACAAAAAAAACGCTTATAAGAATAACACCACGTTTTTTCTGCTATAGTTTTATTTGAAAAAATAAATACTAGTAAGTAAGCACCAAATCAATCTCACATTGGAAAAAACAAATTAATCTGACATATTAACTAACGACGCAATGTATTCTCATACATGGCGCCGTGCGTATTCTATACGGTTATTTTTATTCGATCGAATCTCACTAATCTAAGCGGCGCTATGGGTTAGAGTGGGAGAGGAGCATAGGAGATTGCTAGGTGAAAGGGGAGTGGAGGGCGGAAAGGGGATCCGAGGGAGAATAGGGATTGGAGGGTGAAAAGGGGATTCGAGGGAAAAAGGGATTGGAGGGTGAAAAGGAGATTCGACTGTGAAAAGGGCGATTGGAGGGTGAAAGGGATCTCGGGTAATAAGGGGATTGGTGGGTGATGATGGGGATTGATGGGTGATAATAGGGGATTGCTTCATAAAGGTACTGTTTTCTGAAAAACGTTGTATGACATTCGTGCGGATTGGTATTAACAAACTCTTGACTATGGTAAGCCAGAGACGAAATGTACTCGTTTGTAATAACCAACTTACCGCACTAATATCATAAAGGGTGTTTCTTCTAGTTCACAGTCCTTACGTTTGTCATTGTAATATAAAACTCAGTCAGTCATTTAGGCTACTTACGCTTCTCTGTAGCCTAGCTTTCGTCTCTCCGTACCCGAGCTTATTTATGTATTTTCGTTCACACTCCTCCCGCGGCCTGCGTTGCCGAACGTGCTGTCCATAGAGAAAGTAACAACTCCATTTTAAGTGGTTTAGGAAGTGCCGACTCCTAAAACGGAGTGGTTACTCTCTCTATAACTGATCAAACTAGTGCCGCCTGGCCGCCAACCAGAGGCCGGCGGGCCATAAGTGCGGCGTCGCCTAGCCGCATCGATTTGGAACGTACTGGAACTGATTATCCGCTACCGCTCCCTTAGGTGAACGTCTGTTTGACGGTAAGCCGAAAGGCTAGGTATTGATCTCTTTCCGAGTTCTAGTATCACCAGCCTATTAAAGTTCTCATTGCTAGGGCTCAGGCATTCCTTGTGGCTGAAAAAGGGAGATTGAGCCATTCATGACCCACCACGCGGGTGCTAACGACTACAGCTGCAGATGGGATTAACGGCGTAACGTGTCTCGGTCTCGTAAACGTGTAACGGAGGAGCTCGAGATAAGAGGTTTTTGGTTGCCCATCCAATGACCACCATTGGAAAAGTTTCTTAACTTTGACAATAGCAGGTCAATCGCGCTATCCACCTAAGCCATCGAGCGCAGCTGATCTGTGTGCTATGATGTTAATACGGATAAAATATGTGATTTATAATAATATAAAATCTTTATATATATAATTCTTCTGTGAGTGTGTATGTCACTGAACTTCTCTTAAACGACTGGACCGATTTTGATGAATTTTTTTGTGTGTGTTCAAGGGGATCTGAGAATGGTTTAGATTCACAATTTTGTCTGCTGGACAACCCCTATTTTTTTAGGGCGGTACGAAGTTCGCTGGGTCAGCTAGTATATAATAAAATCAGAAAGCAAAATATATAGTACGTTTTAGTGATTAACATAGGTGCCAATGATTGTACTCCCATACTATAGATTATACCAAAATTTTGATGTTTTGTTGAATTTTAGGTACAATTCTGATAAACTACAATTTTCATCTATGCAATATTTACGTTTTCTTAATTATGTCGAAGAAAACACCTAAGTACAACAACATGTTTAAAAACACCTATCTTTTATTGACTTCAATAAAATGGCTGCCTTTTCGTAGCTTTTGCGAACAACGATAATCAAACTTAGTTATTTAAAAAAAATGCCATTTGTAGAGGAGGAGAAAATTTAAGAATTGCAATCAAAGAATAATAAAAAAGATATCAGTGTTCAGTGTTTCATTTAAAAATATTTTGAGCCTATTCTGTTGCTTTAATATATTAAACACGCTAGTGAAATGGAGGTACAGATTTTCAGTTCATTACATCTGAAAATCTCCATACTAGTCGGTGAGCGCAATGCACGGAATAGGAAATGAGGTACCCCACCACACGATCTCAGGATTGCATATTCATAGACTGAGAATATGCCAAACAGCACAATCAAACCGTTGAAATGGGATAGTGCCTTTATTGAGTGCGCTGCTAGCGCAAAATGCAATACCAATAAGAAATAAAATGTTTATTTGAATTTTTATCAACTGTGCTTACCAAGAGAGAATTATTATGAAATCAGGAATAATAGTTTCTTCACTGTAATAAAATTTTGTACTGTTTGGTGAAATGATTTTTAATATTTTTTTTTATGTTCCAAAAGTTTCTAATTTTGTATGATTCAATGATTATCACTGTGATTTGAACATGCATTTTTATGTATCATAGAAACAGTGGCGAATTTATTAGTGGCGTTTAAAGCTTATAGGACTGATACTGAATTAATGTCGTATGCCATAAAATAAAAGTTGCTTTTTACCTATCTCTTTACTACGAGGACGTTAACGCGCATGTAGCACCTACAGTTTTTTTGAACGCCATTCTGTAGCACATGGCTCTAAACTACGCGCTACGGTGTAGATCTCACTACGTTCATCGGGCTCTATCGGTCTCTACAAGCAACACTGTGCTTTATCGTTTTTCGTTATTATTCTTTAATAAATAGGTTCTTTAAAACATGTAAAAACAATATCATTTTCGGTTTCGAGGCTACAATTCTTTAAGTAAGTATCTAATTGGTACGTACATATGGCGCCTTGCTCACCGAGTCGGTGTGGGCTCGTTCCGTTTCCGTACCGAATCTGTACAGATTCTTTAGCTTTCTCAGTGAGTCATTTTGGTATAGATTCTTTATCGAGCGCATATGCACCTCTTTGTACAAAGCACTACTGGAACATTGAACGCGCTCGCCCGGTGCGACGGCACTTTATCAAATGACAAACAAAGCACCACACACGCACAACCTGAAGTAGTTCTCAGTAAAGTAACTGTACAGATTTGGTACAGAAACGAACAGGTGAGAAGTACACCTAAGTAATATGTTTGTGAATGAATAGAGCTATCAAAAATAAAAATTATACCCCGCTCTTAATTTCACAAATGCAGAAGGAAAAATATAGGCACTTAATTTATATGACATAAAGCATGGTACATATTTTAACAATACAATATTGCATTAGTACCTACACCTGCCTCAGAAAGGATAAAATTGCCTACAAAAGGAATAAGGGATGTAATCCATTCCAACAGTCCCTTTGTGTAACGCTCTAGGGGGCATATCGGTTATTGCGATGATACGAGTATATTATTATATTTATTCCCCTACTTAACTTTAATATTTGAATCGACAATGTACCTCTTTAATAATTGTTTCCATACTATTATTTCATACTTAAAACTAAACATTTAACAACACGTCATAATAATAAAATCTGATAAAGTATGTATGTATAAAAACCCTTTATAATAGATTAACTTGGGGGGGTGAAAAAATATGTTTTTCTGGAATTACTCATTTCTTATGTTTCACGCACACCAATCATTAGAATGGAATTACCAAGGAATTTATATACCGAACGCTAACTTATAGTACAGTCAATCTGTAAGTTGAGTGATGAAAAAAAAACCTAAAGGTTAAGTCTTGTTTTTTCTGTTGCCAAATGACGTCAGTAAGCCACCTTGGCGATGGGCATGTTCAACTCGTAGGCGTTTTTTGAAAAACTCAAAAAAACCGATAAAAATTTTTTGAAACGCATTTTTCTTGTTTTGTATGCATTTTAGAAACTTTTTTGACCATAATTGTAGAGGGCGTTGAGTACTACAATTTATGTCATTGTTGCAATCTCGTACAACAAAAAATGCGCATTGTAGGTGGCGCTAAAGTCTCAAAAAAAGGGTATTTTCACTTTTTCACCCTGAAAATATCATTTTAATGGAAAACTTTAAATGGCAAAGTTGTTTCGTACATAATTACCAACAACTTTTGTATAAACAATTTTTTTGTATTACTTACCGTTTTCAAGTTATAAATTGCGCAGGTATGAAAAATCCAATAGAGCGGTTTTGGGCAGTTCAAGTACACATTTGCAGTGCACATTTCAATGTACGTTTTTACTATTTTTTTTTCAATCATGAAAAAAAATAAAAATAAAACATATTTTTTTTATTTTTTTTCATTTTTTTTTTGTTTTTCAATCATGAAAAAAAATAAAACGTAGTAAAACGTACATTGAAATGTGCACTGCAAATGTGTACGTGAACTGCCCAAAACCGCTCTATTGGATTTTTCATACCTGCGCAATTTATAACTTGAAAACGGTAAGTAATACAAAAAAATTGTTTATACAATAGTTGTTGGTAATTATGTACGAAACGACTTTGCCATTTAAAGTTTTCCATTAAAATGATATTTTCAGGGTGAAAAAGTGAAAAAACACTTTTTTGAGACTTTAGCGCCACCTACAATGCGCATTTTTTGTTGTACGAGATTGCAACAATGACATAAATTGTAGTACTCAACGCCCTCTACAATTATGGTCAAAAAAAAAAGTTTCTAAAATGCATACAAAACAAGAAAAATGCGTTTCAAAAAATTTTTGACGGTTTTTTTGAGTTTTTCAAAAAACGCCTACGAGTTGAACATGCCCATCGCCAAGGTGGCTTACTGACGTCATTTGGCAACAGAAAAAACAAGACTTACCCTTTAGGTTTTTTTTCACTGAAACGATATTTTTTTCGACAGATTGACTGTACTATTAGTGTTTGTTAGTTTTGTATTGAACGCGTGAAACA